CGATGGGTCCAGTGGCTCAAACGATATCGGATCCATAAGTAAATAAATGAATTCATTTGACATTCTAAAAGACATTTTATTTAAAAAAATTGGATTTAACTTACGTATTTGACAATTTCGTATAAAGGGTGATATTGCTTTGAGATACTTCCGTTCCTGATTTTGTGGTATTCCGAAGTTCGATAGTAAAATTTACAGTAGCCTTCATGTTTCTTGCTTAAATGGGTTAAAATTATGGATTAATTACATTAAATAAATTTTATTTTCTGGAATACTAATACAAGATAGCGTAAACCATAGCTATAATGCATATTAAATTAATCTAAACTAATTTAATAAAGTCGATTCGTAATCTCCAATTGAGAGGACAGCCCCGGTGACCCAAAAGGGCCGGGGGACCCCTTCCTGACCCCATCCCCTGTGGGCTCTCTGTGTGCTCTCTGGCCCCCCGTGCGACTCGACCCCCGTCTGGTCCACCCCAACCGAATATGAGACGCCAACTGGGGACACTGGTATCATTTCTGGCCTATGGCTAGGTTTTTTTACGAGTTTTTTGGTTCCCGAGCCTGGCTGTCGGGGGCTCCCATTCCGGCGGCTGACTCGGGATCCGCTCGAGAGAAGCTAGCAACTTCTCTAATTTTGTTGCGCAATGCTTACGCAATGCATCATTATCATACTCAATAAGCTCCTCGTCCACCCACACGCCAATCAAGTATAAGTATGAGTATAGGTTGCAGGGGGGACTCACGCGGCACCTCAAGCTCGCCCACCACCTCGCCATCATGTTCCGATGCGCCGTCTGCCGCACCCGTTTTGACACGATCAAAGCGGCGAAGTACCACCAAGCCAACACCGTCGAGTACATCAGCAGACATGTAGGTAAGTACGGAAGTACGCAAGTACATCCCAAGCTCCTGGAACGGCTCCAACACCATATCGGTGCACAAGAAAGGTCTGAAGGATGACCTCTCCAACTGGAGGCCCATCTCACTCTCAAACACCGTAGATCGGTAGATGGGCCCGCCTCTACAACCGCATCTCCAATGAGCAGAAGGGCTTCATGCCGGTTGAGGGATGCACAGAACACAACTTCCTCCTCCAATCCGTGATCGTCGAGACCCGCCGCGACACAAGGATCAACAGCAAGTGCGCCATTGCCTGGCTCGACCTCTCCAACGCGTTCGGCTCCGTCCCGCATTCCTCGCTCTTCCGATGCCTCGAATACACTGGCCTTTCGGTGGAGGCGATCGAAGAAATTCGTCGTCTCTATGAAGGTGCCGCAACATGCGTCCGAAGCTCTACCGGTCCGACTCCGGCCATCAACATTCAAGCGGGTGTCAAGCAGGGATGTCCAATCTCTCCGATCGTGTTCAACCTTGCGCTCGAGCCCGTCATCCGTGCCGTCATCAACTCCAACAAGCACACCACCATACCTATCGAGTACAAGGTTCAAGGATCCAAGATGGTGACGCTCGACTCCAACGACCACTACGAACATCTCGGAGTCCCCACCGGCTACACCAAGGCCCTTCCGCAGACAAGACCATCGCAAAGATGCACCAGTGCCTCGACAAAATCCACTCTTCTCTACTCGCCCCATGGTAAAAAGCGGATGCGGTCAACACCTTCATCCTGCCTTGCATCGCCTTCCATCTGAAGAATGGCCACGTCGAGAAGAAGAAGCACCTCATCCCGTTCGACAAGAAGTTGAAGAAGTTCGCCAAGTCGTGGATGAGCCTTCCGAGTCAAGCAAGCCCCGTAGTCCTCTACCTGCCGCACAACATGGGAGGCCTCGGCCTCATCCAGACCAAGACCCTCGCCGATGTGATGCAGCTGGTGCATGCTGTCCAATTGTTGGAGTCGACTGATCTCGGCCCAATGACTGCTCAGCTGCTCCGTACGGCTGTACAGAAGAAGATCAAGCGTGCGCCAACCGACTCCGAAGTGGCCGACTACCTGAACCAGAAGCTTGACGGCGCCTTCGAGACGTACTACGCCGACACCCGCAACATGTGGACAAGAGTGCGACAAGCGACCGGCCACCTCGTCAAGACCGACAAGCTCGATGTGAAGTGGACGTGGACCAACGACAAGATCCAACTGCTCGTGCTCGGATGTGGCGTCACCAAGAAGACGTGCGAAAGGATGCTCAAGCGCGCCGTCCATCAAGCTCAGCTCGTTCACCTCACCGCCAAGAAGAGCCAGGGCAAGGTCTACAACATCACCGCCCACCAGGCCGTCTCCAACCACTTCATGCGTGACGGACGCTATATCCGCTTTGCGGATTGGCGCTTCGTTCACCGTGCAAGACTCGACGTCGTTCCACTAAATGGCTGCAACCGTGCCCGTAATCAGAAAGACAAGCGCTGCCGTAGATGTGGCTACCAACTTGAGAGCGTCGCCCATGTGCTCAATCATTGTCCTGTTCACGCCCACGCCATCACCCTGCGCCACAACGCCATCCTCGACCGCCTCGTCAACGCCGTCAAGCTGCCAGCCACCACCACGAAGTACGTCAACGTCAAGATCCCCGGCACCGATGGTCAACTACGTCCCGATCTCGCACTCGTCGACCATGTCAAGAAGCGCGTGACCATCGTGGACGTGACCATGCCTATCGAGAACCACGACCTGGGCGTCTTCGCTGCCGCACGTGCCGAGAAGCTCCGCAAGTACGCCGACATCTTCAACAAGTTCAACGCCGATGGCTACGACACGGTCCTGGGCGCCTTCATCGTCGGGCCACTCGGCGGATGGGACCAAGAAAACGACAACGTGCTGCGCCGACTCGCCATCTCCGTCAAGTACGCCGCGCTGATGAAGAAGCTGATGGTCGCCGATGCGCTGAAGTGGTCAAGAGATGCCTACGTCGAGCACATCACCGCCCACCGCCAATATCAAGCATAAAAGAGAGACAGAGAGATAGAGAGAGAGAGAGAGAGAGAGAGAGAGAGATAAAAGAAAAAGATATATAATTTCTTATCAGGTCCTGGGAACCCTCTCGATGACTGTCCTAGACAATGATAATAATGATAAATCAATTTATGCATTAACCAGGGTTGAAAAGCCGCTTCGCGACTTTTCAACCCTGGCCCCGTCTGACCCCGTTTTATCCTTCACTTTGCATAATTTTCCTGAATTCAGATGACAAAAAGTGAAAAACTACCTGTTGAGCCCCTTTATGTAGTCGAATCCCCACTTCCGGTCTACGCTAATTGTTCCTAACAAAGAGGTTTTTACAAAAACTTAAATTTAATGTCGAAAATCGGTGAATTTGTTAAATCTGATATGCGTGCAGTCATCTCCAGGCCATTAAGCATCTAATGACGTATCATACATACGTTAAAATTCCTCCCCTATCGAGATATCCTCCGGACAGAAAGCATTTCCTTCGGGAAGTGCACAAATCATTCAAATGTAAGACGACTTCACGAAAACCTTGAATGTGCCTACGCAGCGCGTATGGTCGTTGTACGCAACTGTACGCTGGTCTGGTTGCGATGATTTTTCGAAACTTGGAAAATCATACCGTTTCAGCAAGTGGCCGCAAGGGAAAAGTCGCTCACCTGGAGTCAAGACAGATGGTAACACTGGCGACAAGGTGGGGGCTATCTTTCACAAGGAGACGTTTCTGGCGTCTACAAAGCTTCGAGATGTAACCAAGCCTATTTTGTGCAGAATTTTTCGCTGTCAAACCTTGTTTTTAAAATTTGCGAAACGCCAACAATAAGGAAGTTATGTAGCTTTCACGGACGAAATTGGTCATTTCTGCAATTTTTTTTGACTTTTTAGAGCTTCGTATCTTTTTAAATAACGGCCCTTTTATAGATTTTGAAAATTATATTGCAGCAGCAAAAAAATCTGCCTAATATAGATTTGGTCTTGTCTCGAAACTCTAAAAAAATTCAGTTTTATCTAGCTTGTTTTTCTAGCTACCTCCCTTCATGAGTATTTTGCGATTCTATAACATGGATGGCATGGACAAGAGAGATTTTTATAAATATTTGGATGTTAGTTATTAATTATTTACTTACTTTTTTTATTATATTACTTTTGTATTAGCCAACCCCTTTTCAGGATTGACACGCCGGCACCCAAAAAATAACATTCTGGCGTTTCCAATTGTCCTATCAGGAATATTTTGAAGACGAAACCAACCAACACCAGAGATTCCGGGCCCGCTTTTTGGATCGTATTTCAGCAAAATCATGTCTGGTAAGCGGTGCCATAGCCAGAATATAATTGTTAGGGTCGAGCCGAGCCGGAGTATTTTGAATTCTTGACGCTGGGAAGTGAACGAGGCGATACGCTGTACATCAATTTCCGGGTGGACAGCAATTTCGGGCCTCGGATCGTGCTTCAAAACTATCCATTTTATTGAGCGAAAAGCATTGAAATAAATGTGTTTATTTTGCATAAAAATCGCTATAAAAACACACTGCTACGGTATAAAAAAAGCAAAACGAGGTTGAAATTTCATTTTGTCGAGATTCCAATGCGCTGAAATATCATTTGGCGAGAACGGACGACTACTGTAGCCACCTTGACGCCTTTGAACTGTTTTCTTTCCGGAGAATTTTTTATTTACGAAAATATCATCTAAATCGGCAGTGTTAATCCCGTTTTATCCTCAAAATCGTCAGAAATTGAGCCTAATACCCTGTTGACCCCTTTTCATGAAATTACTCAAAATCGGCATCCTACTTGTGAAAACTTAGTCGAAAACGCGTGCCAAAAATCCCAAAAAAAAACCAAATCCTCAACAACAATTTAATTTAATAACATTATTTTGCCTTCAAAATTTGGTTGCATATAGTTTTTATGGATTCCCATTGCCGGTAAAAATTGGGGGCGATTGGCTAGGAGATGGCCAAGTTTCAAGGTGTGTTTTTTATTGGGACACCTATAAACAAATTAGCTATTAAGACAATCCTCCTAAATTTTTTTAAACGTCTCAAGCGGTTTAATTTACGTATTGTAAAATTTATTCCCATGAATTAGGCTCGATATGGCCCATCATCTGGCCCACGAAACCCGAGAAAATCAACGGTCAAAATAATCCGATCGGTTGTGACGGCCCGGTAGACCACTTGGAATTTCGCGTCTAACAATGTTATTTTTGTTTTCTAGTTCATTCCCCCTTACCTCGCATTGAAGGGAGTATAATTTCAAATTCGTCCTTCACCACCTCGCTTAGATGACGGAAAATCTCAAAAACCTTAATTTTAAAGCACACTAAAATTGCTACAATATTTTGATTTTGGCCTTGGAAAGTCGATGGGTCCAGTGGCTCAAACGATATCGGATCCATAAGTAAATAAATGAATTCATTTGACATTCTAAAAGACATTTTATTTAAAAAAATTGGATTTAACTTACGTATTTGACAATTTCGTATAAAGGGTGATATTGCTTTGAGATACTTCCGTTCCTGATTTTGTGGTATTCCGAAGTTCGATAGTAAAATTTACAGTAGCCTTCATGTTTCTTGCTTAAATGGGTTAAAATTATGGATTAATTACATTAAATAAATTTTATTTTCTGGAATACTAATACAAGATAGCGTAAACCATAGCTATAATGCATATTAAATTAATCTAAACTAATTTAATAAAGTCGATTCGTAATCTCCAATTGAGAGGACAGCCCCGGTGACCCAAAAGGGCCGGGGGACCCCTTCCTGACCCCATCCCCTGTGGGCTCTCTGTGTGCTCTCTGGCCCCCCGTGCGACTCGACCCCCGTCTGGTCCACCCCAACCGAATATGAGACGCCAACTGGGGACACTGGTATCATTTCTGGCCTATGGCTAGGTTTTTTTACGAGTTTTTTGGTTCCCGAGCCTGGCTGTCGGGGGCTCCCATTCCGGCGGCTGACTCGGGATCCGCTCGAGAGAAGCTAGCAACTTCTCTAATTTTGTTGCGCAATGCTTACGCAATGCATCATTATCATACTCAATAAGCTCCTCGTCCACCCACACGCCAATCAAGTATAAGTATGAGTATAGGTTGCAGGGGGGACTCACGCGGCACCTCAAGCTCGCCCACCACCTCGCCATCATGTTCCGATGCGCCGTCTGCCGCACCCGTTTTGACACGATCAAAGCGGCGAAGTACCACCAAGCCAACACCGTCGAGTACATCAGCAGACATGTAGGTAAGTACGGAAGTACGCAAGTACATCCCAAGCTCCTGGAACGGCTCCAACACCATATCGGTGCACAAGAAAGGTCTGAAGGATGACCTCTCCAACTGGAGGCCCATCTCACTCTCAAACACCGTAGATCGGTAGATGGGCCCGCCTCTACAACCGCATCTCCAATGAGCAGAAGGGCTTCATGCCGGTTGAGGGATGCACAGAACACAACTTCCTCCTCCAATCCGTGATCGTCGAGACCCATCGCGACACACGGATCAACAGCAAGTGCGCCATTGCCTGGCTCGACCTCTCCAACGCGTTCGGCTCCGTCCCGCATTCCTCGCTCTTCCGATGCCTCGAATACACTGGCCTTTCGGTGGAGGCGATCGAAGAAATTCGTCGTCTCTATGAAGGTGCCGCAACATGCGTCCGAAGCTCTACCGGTCCGACTCCGGCCATCAACATTCAAGCGGGTGTCAAGCAGGGATGTCCAATCTCTCCGATCGTGTTCAACCTTGCGCTCGAGCCCGTCATCCGTGCCGTCATCAACTCCAACAAGCACACCACCATACCTATCGAGTACAAGGTTCAAGGATCCAAGATGGTGACGCTCGACTCCAACGACCACTACGAACATCTCGGAGTCCCCACCGGCTACACCAAGGCCCTTCCGCAGACAAGACCATCGCAAAGATGCACCAGTGCCTCGACAAAATCCATTCTTATCTACTCGCCCCATGACAGAAAGCGGACGCCGTAAACACCTTTATCTTGCCTTGCATCGCCTTCCATCTGAAGAATGGCCACGTCGAGAAGAAGAAGCACCTCATCCCGTTCGACAAGAAGTTGAAGAAGTTCGCCAAGTCGTGGATGAGCCTTCCGAGTCAAGCAAGCCCCGTAGTCCTCTACCTGCCGCACAACATGGGAGGCCTCGGCCTCATCCAGACCAAGACCCTCGCCGATGTGATGCAGCTGGTGCATGCTGTCCAATTGTTGGAGTCGACTGATCTCGGCCCAATGACTGCTCAGCTGCTCCGTACGGCTGTACAGAAGAAGATCAAGCGTGCGCCAACCGACTCCGAAGTGGCCGACTACCTGAACCAGAAGCTTGACGGCGCCTTCGAGACGTACTACGCCGACACCCGCAACATGTGGACAAGAGTGCGACAAGCGACCGGCCACCTCGTCAAGACCGACAAGCTCGATGTGAAGTGGACGTGGACCAACGACAAGATCCAACTGCTCGTGCTCGGATGTGGCGTCACCAAGAAGACGTGCGAAAGGATGCTCAAGCGCGCCGTCCATCAAGCTCAGCTCGTTCACCTCACCGCCAAGAAGAGCCAGGGCAAGGTCTACAACATCACCGCCCACCAGGCCGTCTCCAACCACTTCATGCGTGACGGACGCTATATCCGCTTTGCGGATTGGCGCTTCGTTCACCGTGCAAGACTCGACGTCGTTCCACTAAATGGCTGCAACCGTGCCCGTAATCAGAAAGACAAGCGCTGCCGTAGATGTGGCTACCAACTTGAGAGCGTCGCCCATGTGCTCAATCATTGTCCTGTTCACGCCCACGCCATCACCCTGCGCCACAACGCCATCCTCGACCGCCTCGTCAACGCCGTCAAGCTGCCAGCCACCACCACGAAGTACGTCAACGTCAAGATCCCCGGCACCGATGGTCAACTACGTCCCGATCTCGCCCTCGTTGACCATGTGAAGAAGCGCGTGACCATCGTGGATGTGACCATGCCGTTTGAGAACCACGACCTGAGCGTCTTCGCTGCCGCACGTGCCGAAAAGCTCCGCAAGTACGCCGACATCTTCAACAAGTTCAACGCGGATGGCTACGACACGTTCCTGGGCACCTTCATCGTCGGGGCTACTCGGCGGATGGGACCAAGAAAACGAAGTCGTGCTGCGCCGTCTCGCCGTCTCCGTCAAGTACGCCGCGCTGATGAAGAAGCTGATGGTCGCCGATGCGCTGAAGTGGTCAAGAGATGCCTACGTCGAGCACATCACCGCCCACCGCCAATACCAAGCATAAAAGAGAGAGAGAGAGTGAGAGTGAGAGAGAGAGAGATAAAAGAAAAAGATATATAATTTCTTATCAGGTCCTGGGAACCATCTCGATGACTTTCCTAGACAATGATATTAATGATAAATCAATTTATGCATTAATGACGCCACTGAGATCCCTTGACCTGCATTCTAGCTATTTGGTGAAATATGCTAAAACATTTTATTTTTTTTAAGAACGGTATTGCTTTAATTCAAAGAGAACAAAAAACAGCTTATTATTTATTTTTACGATGGCTTTTTAATAACTCTACTACAACATTAATGCTAATTACTCCGGGGAGCATGATCAGAAATCCTGGCCTTGAGTGCCCTATCCTGTATGTAAGGTTACGGTACTGTACGCATGGATACAGTAACATCAATCACCCAACAACAACAAAACTCACACCAATAATTTTCAAGCGATACTCTCGGCTTTCCGACACAATCCAGAGTTAAAGAAGGATGCACAGGACCGCTCATATTTCTGAAACTATGCCATAGCTTTAATAAAGTAGCAACCCACTTAAAAAATAATCCCTCGCGACATAGCGTCCCTAGCGCCTCACTAAACACATTCTGATGCACGTGGTATGCAAAATCACTCTTCGCGATTCGCTGAAAAAAATTGGATTAAGATGTCCACTACGAGGTGTTTTTCTCAAATAAAAATAGTTTTAAGGTTTTTTGGATATATAAAATAGTTTTTAGTATATTTTGTGTTCCTCGATCGAGTGATATTTTAAAAATATAAAAATGTTAAAACAGCCGAAAATCGTCCGTCCGTCCGTACCGTAAAATTCGCCGTCATCGTCTGCCGATCCGTAATATTCGACGATATACCATAATGATAACTTCTCAAATTGCCCTTCGATTTCCCAGCCGGAATCACTATTGGCGAACTTTCCATCTCAAAATTCATCTTTGATCCTGGAAGTTAAAAAATATAAGTTTGAGTGAAAGTAAGAGTAAAAAAAGTAGAGGTTTAAGCTTAAAGTTATTCCAAAGGTAGTGAAACGTACTCTCCGTCAACCGCAGCTTCAGCCCAATCATATCGGTCCAAGAATCGAACAATTCCTTAGCGGCCTTATTTGTCTGATCACAAAATATATTTGGAAAGTGCTAAACGACGAAGACAGTGCCAAAAATGCTTTTCAAACCTTGCGAATGACTTCCTTCACCCTATATTGCCCCACCATATTGAATACAACCCGCTCACTGCCAAGCTTTGGACTTTCGAAATTCGGTTTCATTTTGCTTTAAAATGATTAAGGCATTACATTAGAAAAGAACAAACCATTCAAATTTTTGGAACTTTGGATATCCTTTGGATGCACGGAATTGAATCGGGCCAAGCGTAATTTCAGGGAAAACGACATCAATCACGAATCGATTAGAGTCACGGGTAAATAAAAACTAAACATTTACATGATAAAATGATAAAATAATAACTACTATAAATTATCCATACCTTGTGATAATAATGCCCATTAAGAGTCACTGCTACTCGGTTCAGCTAAAAATTTAGTTTAAATTGTAATAATAATTTTTCAACCTTCAATAGATAGCCACCCTTCGATGGTTCTGGTTGGAAATCGGAGTCCTCAATAGTAATCTTCCCAATCCATAGCTTTGATAATTCCACAAGTCCGAATCGAAATCAACTTTTTTATTGTTCAAAAATTTAAAGAAGTGCTTTTGCATTATCGGGGGGGGGGGCAATATAATTGAATCGTACTAAAAAATGATTAAGATACTTACTGTTACGTTATTAGGCATTTTTGGCCCCCACAGAGAAAAATTACCCCTCCCCCGATAATGCAAAAGAACCCCAAACTTAATCCATAGCCATTCACTCACCTCCGGTCATCTCTAATATCCCCAATCTTTGCCTGACGCAGTTGGCTTTGCAGGAAATAAGTCGCAAAATATTCGGCAGAACGATTGAGCACGTTTAAATTTGTCTAAATCATTTAATACTACTTAATAATACTACTTACATCGATGATCACATTATTCCCTTGTGCAGGGTTTATCAATAAAAATATGAATGCGAAAAGGCGAAACATTTGTGGGATGAAAGAAGAATGGTGTGCAGGGCTCGGGGGTTGAGATGTTGGCGATTCGTGTGGAATAAATAAGGTGTCAAATTGATTGAAACAGCTGACGGCTGGGACAAGGAATTACGTGAAACCACTCGTTCACATTGTCCGCAGACTTTATTTGCAGGGAAAGAGGAGTGAAACGGAAAAAATAGAGGCTCAAAAGCATGGAAAGGCATGAATATGAGCCTCTATCTCTAAAATCAGGGTAGATTACGGTACTGAACGGTCTATGACTGGCTTTTCAGTGTTGCTTTACGTTGGAATCAAGAATTTTTCGCTGATTCCCAATATATGTGTATTAAAATGGCTGAACCGCTATTTTCCGTAAAGTATGAAGCACGGAAGGCTGAGAAGCACTCAAAATCAGCCACTTTCTATGCTTTTATTAACCTAAACCGTTCATAACTTCCGGAAAACAGCGCTTCCGCAAGTTTTGTAAACATCTTGGGAATCAGCGCAAAATTCTGCACAAGTTAGGCTTGATTCCAACTTAAAACTCCGACGATACCGATTTACCGAAAATTTTAATAATTTTTTTAAAGTTGCAGGCGGCTAATATAAGGGTATTTGATCATTCGGATCTTACTTACGGTTTAATACAAAGTTTCTTCAAAAATATTTTAAAATAGACGAAACAGCCTTCAGATTCGTCTGTAACGTTTGACACCTCTGCACGCCGAGCAGACCAGCATGACGTCCTAATAACCAAGGTACCAGATCGCTGAAAAAACACCTGTGCGTCCCCCAGGCACTCGGACTACTTCAGCTACCAAGAAAAATCAAAAGCCCACCTGGACCAGTAACCTAGCTTTATTTGTTTCCGCGTCTATCATTTACTTTTATGACCTGAACCTAAAATGGATCAAAATATTTTTATTTTTATTCTCAAATGTATTTTTAGTTGCTGAAAAAAACGAGAAAAAGAAGGTATGGATGAACGTTTCGCAATGTGCGAGCCATTGCCAGATGACGTGAAAGCCGTATGCATTCGGACGCTCGAGGAGGGCAAAAGCCCGTTTCTAAATACATTCATTCAACCGTTCTACATTAACACGTTCCTCAAACTCGCCGCCACACCAATTCTAGCATATGCTTGTTATTTGGCAGCTTTCTGCTCCTCACATATGTCTGGCCGGGTCCGATATCATGTGTTGAACTTTCAGGTTAGTTTTTGGTAAAAGTTGCTTAACGGGAGGAGCAAATAACGGGGATGGAAACACTTCTGTAGTTCTAAAAGTTATACTGCTACTATCGATAAATAACATTCAATAAATTTCTATTTATGTAATTAATGTAAAACTAATACAAGATATCGTCCTGAGTTTTTCCAATTGTTACCATTGACTACCCGGGGCACACCGGCGGAGCGAGCAGATGGTTTCCCGGGGAGCCAGGTCAAAATCCTGGCACAAACCAGTGGATCCCCCTCCCAGACGTAAACCATAGTATATTAAACTCTGCTATAATGTATATTAAATGAATCTGTACTAATTTAATAAAGTCGATTCGTAATTTCCAATTGGAAGGACAGCCCCTGTGACCCAAAAGGGCCGTGGGACCCCCTCCTGACCCCACCCCCTGTGCGCTCCCTGTGTGTTCTCTGCCCCCCCCCCCGTGCGACTCGACCCCCGTCTGGTCCACCCCAACCGCATATGAGACGCCAACTGATGACACTGGTATCGCTTCTGGCCTATGGCCAGGTTTTTGTCAGACAATAGCTACGGCTCAATCGAAGATATTTTTGCTTCGCAAAAGTCGATCGAGCTGCCTGTGCTTGTTCCTGGTATGAATTACAGAAATAAGTCTGTAATTCTACCAGGAACAAGCACAGGCAGCTCTATCGACTTTTGCGAAGCAAAAATATCTTCGATTGAGCCGTAGCTATTGTCTGAAAAAACTCATTAATAAAAAAGAATTGGCATGAACCCCGTCCCGGGTAAATACATTCCGCCCCCGTGTCACGGGCTCCCGGAATTTCCATCTCAATTCCCACCTTATGCACAATCACTTGTGATATAAGAGTTTACCATTCTCTCTAAATTGTCATACACTACTGTATTTCCGGCCCTCGGGCCGAGCATTTGCTAATAAACGTTATACAGTTCTTATCGGCTTAATCTCCGATACGTACACTATTGTGTACAACGAGATTAACCAATTTTTGGAAACGGTTCGGTTCGCAGAAGCTTGCTTCTCGCCGGACAGCGTCGGCACAGCATTGCACTTGCCGCTGGGAACGGCGCACACCCCGAAAGGGGTGAACAAACACCAGACCGAGTAAAAGACATATTGTACGTAAGCACGGGACACCAACATGGCCAGGCTTTCTTATCAGGTCCTGGGATCCCCCTCGATGTCTTTACTAGACATCTGCTCGTATAGAGGTTGAGCCTCCACGGATGCTAATGATAAACCTATTTATGCACTTATGACGCCATTGAGGTCGTCAGATAAAGCCTCAAAAATTATACTAAGAGTACTACTAAAGAATTTCCGGCAAATTCAGTATTATAATTTCAGGTAATCGCTGCTGCATCAGACGTTTATATCCACTGGGTAAGCGAAATCCGCGGCTTCCTACCAATAACCCTTGTCGGATATGATGGCATTGCATGTCGTTCGTTTGGAATTCATCCATTCCTACTGACGGTAGCTATATTCTTATTTTATTTATTATTCCCCCAAAAATGAACTTTTTCAAACCGCGGGTGTTATTGTATTCACTGTCGTCCCGGTGGCCACCTTTCAAACCTTAAAGCCCTGGCCATCCATTAAAGCTCAGACGAAAGCATTTTGTCTACCTACTCGTGTAAGCTTTGAAAATTTTATAATTTGTACGGCCCTAAGTCGAAATAGACATAAATCTTTTTATAGTATTTTCCACAGTTTCTAGACATAAAACCTCCTGAAAATGGGGCTTTTCGCTCAAAAAGGTAGGAAAACGACAAAAAAGATTTTCAGAACTCAAAATTCAACACTGGCGGATTTTCAAAGTGTCTGAAAACCACTAAAACGCTATAAACCACAACTAAAAACGCACGCTGGCCTAGAAACAGCGGTACTTTATTACGCAATCAAAAGCGTGGTGTTGGGTGTCGCGGTCGTACCTAAAAATTCCATCGCTGTAATAGAGTTTTTACAGAATTTCCTACAGTTCATTCCTCTGTGTGAATTTGATCTTCGTATATTCACTCTGGACAAATACGCAGGCTGCTAAAGGTCAATTGACTTACGTAAAAAACTATTATAACCTAAAGAAACGAACTCTTAGGAATACCCCTTCCTATCCGATGTCATCAATCGCCCCGAGACTCTTGGACTGATCGTTGGCAAAGATTTTCTCGTGGATTTCTGGGGTTTAATTTCTATTTGATTTCAACTAAACGGTAATTTAGTATCTGGTGTTACGACAAGCGCATTTGGATCATTTATGCTAGCAATTATAATAGCTTGTTGTTGTTGGTATCATGTTAAATATCGGATGTCTAGGTAAAACTAAGAAAGTATACTTATGTATTTTTATATGCCTATAACCTCATTGTTTTTCTAGTCAGCGAACAAGACAGCTCGAACGTAAGGTTTTGCTACTCCTCTATGCGCACACATTTGCCCCACTAATCATCCTCATGCCAGCATTCAGCTTTTTCTATTACCTATTTTGGATGAAAATGTGGTACTTACAAGGTAAGCCTAATTAAGAAAACATAAAAAGCGGTACTGTTCTATTATGCGGGGGGAGACGGTGCGGGATTTCCAGGCAGCAATTTCTTCTTGTCATAACTTTTTCTACTGCATTTGTTTGGGCTGGAAATAAAACGCCTAGTATATTTGTTGCGCGCTATCGAATGGCGTTGACGAAATCTTGTATAAATATCGTAAATGTCGAAAACTAGCCTACCACTCCAATGTTCCTACGTGGAAAACACGTTTAAATTATTTGAACCTTTAAACGTTTAAAAATTCAAAATGTTGCTATAAATTTTTTACCTTGCACGATTTTCAGCTGTCATAAACACTATTAGTAGATCTTGCGGTGCTCTATCGAAATGCTTCAAAAACATTTTCAGATCTTCTGGATACAGTCACGGGCCTGGTTGGCACCTACGGAACCTGGTCTGCAATAGTAATGATTGCGACAAGCGCGCCGTACCGAAAAATGACCATCACGTTACTCCGTACCGGCACTTTCCCGCGACCCCACTATGATCTCCGGTTACGTAAAATTCGCGAACGAACGACCAGCGTCGCGACCGTAGCCGTACCAAATCGGAAAAGATGGGCAGAAGGAGCTATTGCGGCTGAGCGATGAGAGAGACTAAATCAGGCGGAACCCAATAAAGACTTGCTTTAAACCTCTAAATGCTGTGCATGTAGCCACTATAAAATACAACGTCATCGTAACGAAAGCATACAGAGACTTTCAATCATTTCAAATAATGTATGCTTGAACTTAAAGATTAAAGCGGATTTGAGGGAGAATCCAACTAAACGAAGCCGATTTCGTGCGGTGAATACTATAATAAACTTCTCCTAAATATGCCCTATACTGTCTTGAATTCCTGTATTTCAAATTTCAATACAAAATCTTGCAAAGTTGTGCTTTCACTGCCATCGCCGTCACACCTTGCATCATATGATGCTATACGGCGCCCCACCCTGCCCACCCAGGCAAGAGTACGGTATCGGAAATGCTGAGGGAAAGGGAGGATGAGAATTTGAAACCGCCTTGTTTACAAGTGCAACCTTTCGAAATATATTGTTTTCCAAGGAGCAAAAATAACAACTTTCTTTGGTTTAGGTGTTCTGCGGCTGAACGATTTTCAAGTTGCGTGAAAAATGGTGGGTTTTATTAGTAGATTTTTGAAAAAAAGGGATTGCATTTTTACTTGGTTGCAAATCGCTCGCTTCGGACAGTCTAGAGGGCACCCAAATTTGCGGAAAATCGCTGTTATGGTTTCCGTGGCTTGAGAAATTTTGGTAGTGCGTCCAGAACGTTTGTTTCGTTGGAATAGAAAGTGTATAGTCGAAAAACTGGGATCTCCCGGCGCACCTAGCAAAGATCATGCCAGAAAGCATTGCTTTTCATTCGTTTATTATTTTTCAAGTATTTATGTTTTTCAGTCTGACGATAGTGATGACGATCTCTCGACGGTGGGCGACTCTGAATCTGATGCCGACATGGAAGTAGAAGAAGTCGCTGAAGAGCCGTCTACGGAAATGGAACTAGATGCCGATGGTATGTTCCTAACGACTGTGGGCTCTACAATTCACGGATCTGGCACGAGCCTGAATTTCTTAATAATGTACGAATTGTCATCATTTATTTTTGCTCAGGAGACGATGCGTCTGATGAACGATCGCCATTCCAAAAAGAGTTATGGCCGCTGAAGCACTTGCCCTATTATTCCGAGCTCGAACGTGAAGCAGATGATTATTTTCGGTATTAATTCAATTAATATTTACAAGACCCTTATTTTAGACACATCAAAGCCGGGCTCGCCCACTCGATTGTGCTGAAGGACATCAAAATGGGCTTCATTCATTGGCTTTGCGAGCTAGAAAAGTGGGTAGTCCATGGCAACTCTGTATTTTGTTCTAGTTACGTGTATCTTTATCAACGGCGGATGACGAAAGATGATCATATACAAATTATCAAACTACTTTATTCATTCATCGACAAGAACTATTTGTATCAAGATGTCAAAATCTGCTGCAAGATATTGACCACACTTCTAAGGCAAGCAAATTTTTATTTCTGGTCAAACCGTTTTAGCAAGCGTGGATTGCTCACTGCCAATGATCTGCAACTTGATTGGCGACCACTATATGAGCTCTACTACGAGGTTTTGGCTATTCTGATCTTTTTTTTACAGTGTTTTTAGTTGTCCTATAAAAACTTGGAGGAAGATGGCGTGTTTCTTCTCCCAGAAGGATTCCGTTCGGACGTCGGGTCGCTAGTTGGATATTGCCGCAATTATTGGAAGCCTAATGCCACACAGGAAATGCTCGACGAGGTAAGCTCCGATCTGGCTTACACAACAGCCTTTTTTAGCTCCGCCCTTATTTCTGCCTCTGGGATGAATCGATGATTCGGGCTTTCAAACTCCTCGAGCTGTTTCTGCCAACTTCACTGAAGGCCCACGAGCACAAAGAATTTGGTATGAATAAAATTTAATTTGGTATAAATTTCTTCAGGCGCTTCGCTATGGTTTGACGAATTTTGGCATTTCTACGTGGCTCTGGAAAACAACTCGTCGATCGAAGAGAAACTGTTGAGAATATTTGCGAGGCGAGCTGAGAAATAATACCTATAATCCATATCTATAGGTTGTCTTGGGATTGTCCGGGCCTCATCGATTGGTCACCATACCTCGATGTGATTTTCACGAAGATCTCACGCTCCCTGCGACTCGGCGAATATATCGGCCTCAGCCAGAACATGCACATGGACACAACAGCGCTATGGGTTTCCTACATGCTTGGCGGACCGCATCATGCCCAGTAAGTTTTCAATATTGAGCTTAAACGATGGTATTAGAGCTATTTCAAAGCTATTTTTTGCAGGGTTCAAGCGTACATGGATAGATTGATGAAAATGATCGAATCTTTTTGCCATCCATCGAATGACGGCAGCCACACGTTGCATCTCCTCAACTTTTTGTGGAGGTTAGACCCCCCGTACCCCTCTTTATCAAAAATTTAGGATGGCCCACCACGTCGTTGTCCGTCTGAAGCGCGAACGCCACGTCAAAAGGGCAGCCTACAATCCAGTACTGTCTTTTGATGTAACTTTTCAATTTATTTAGGTTCCGCCGGAAATGTTCCTCACCGATGCCCAGATCGAGCGTTACGTGATGGCGATGAAACCGTGCCTCTCGCTGGTGATCTTTTCGAAGAAGAAGACCGAATTCATCCCATTCATTGTGCGGGATCTGACGTTGCTAGCCCCTCATATTGTCATCCCGGTCATCCTTGAGCTGTATGTTTGACTTTATGACCAAATTTTTCCCCGGAGAAGCTTTTATCTGGACTCTGGACTTTTATGTCGTTTCTACCTGGCTACACAAAGTTTTAGCGTCTATCCAGCCATCCAGACGGTCACCGAACCCCATCGCTTAACGCAAGCCCTCAACTGCCTGCTCTCCTCGAGCCTTTCACTGAGTAATTCCTTTTTTATAACTCGAAATCCCCATTTTAGTTCGAGACAAGCCTACAACTCCCGACGGTCTTTCTCACCGAAGCCACTGCCTCGTCCTCATCCAGGAACTCCTTCCGGGAATTGATGTCAACGATATGCGAAAAAGTGTCCTGACTTTCCAGGTTCGAAAACTCTTCTAATTTCAATCAATGTTCTTTATAGGTCCTGGCCATGTTTGTCACATTGATTCCGATGTCTGACTGTTCGATGGCCGTTCACGTTCGGAACGACTTGACTGTCGATGAAGCGGAACTGTGCGGTCTAACAGCAAGAATGGAAGACATCGTATGCATGGTGATGGACAAGCTGCTGGCGATCATCGACACATTTGTTTCTCCCTCTTCGGCGGGTGCCCAGCCTGCGCATGGTGCCCTCACCAAACTCAACGCAAAGACGTCAGATGAGGTCCGGTTTTTTTTGTAAAATTCGAAATTCCCCCAACGTCAATGTCTCATCTACATCAAAATAACTTTTTCTCTTTCAGGAGCGTATATCGATGAAGGGAACGAATGCTATTTTCCGTGGAATGGTCAACAACACAAGCACTGCCCTATATGATGTCAGTTTGATAAATTTAGCATCTAGACAGTGTGTTTAGCTTGTCATCACGAAGCTCTACTACTACATGGAGGATGGAATGTGCGATAATAAAGCGGCTGCCGATTCCGTGTCTGACATGGTTTCCATATCAGTCAGGGTTGGTGATTTATGTTATCGCTTTGCAAATGGCTTTGTTTAGTCTCATCCTGCCCGAGCCTTTGAAAAGCTTCTGGATTTGACGATGAAAAACCTACGCAAATACGTCACTCGTAAGTGCATAAAAGTTTTATTGGAATAACTCACTTTAGCTGATGCCTATAACGAGGAGCGCTCTGATTTCGCCGTGATTTGGTGGTTGACGATGGCCACAAAAGTCGTTCGAGTCCCCGGAGAATATTTGATCAAGCGGAAGGAAACGCTGACAGAGATGCTTCGTTTGATTATGCCGTTAAAAAGCCGAACCGCCAGTCACGTATGTGTGGACTGCAGTTTGAACATGTTGAATTTAGCTTTCATGCACTGTTCTGGAAGAAATTGGACATCTATTGACCACGGTCTACCCACAACCCAACTATCAATGGCGCGCCGATTTGGATAAGCCAGTCGAGGACTTCTTGCCGATTAGGGTTTGAATTGGGAAGCACGGTTTTATAAACGTATTTTTTAGCATTGGGCTCGTATCACCGACCGTCGAACTTTCCGCTGCCACTGGTTTGTGCCGACGGCAGACAGCATTAGCTTCTGCAACGAGTTGCTTGGCGAATGGTTTTATCCCTTGCTGGAGGCACTGAGGCGACCAGTTGACATGGACAAGTAAATTTCGTCCTACCTCGCGTGTACTCTGTATTTTAGGCATCAGATCCTCCACAATCTGTACCTAATCGAAAGCGTCGTCGTCGGATGCTCATTTTCCATGCCGTACCTACCAGGTTATTTCATTTTAATAGCTTCATAACTACTGTTATTTAAGGCGAACGCATCAAGCTAAACGATTCTGTCGTCTTCGTCAATCCGTTGATCTACGTCGCCAAACCCGCTGGAACCCCAGACCTCCTCGCTCCTGATGGTGGCAATGTTCGCGAGGTCGTGCGCTCGTCGATCACAGACCTCCTGAATTTCCTCCTGGGGGTGAGTCTGATTCTAAGGAATTTGTCGAATCCAAAAAAGAACGAAGGTTCCGGAAAAGTCCTATTTTCTTGCTCACTGCAACATTTTAGGAACGCGAAGATGATGTGAAATCGATCAGCATGGTTCTACGAATCCTTTCTGTCATCGTGTTCACTCGCGGAACAACCAAGACCAAGCATCATTCCGACTATCAGATGTTTCTCGCGAACAAACGACTGATGACAGACCCGCTCCGAGGACCGAAGGCCAACCCTGATTGGGTCACTCGCGAGTACATCGCCTTGCATCATCAGGTAGCTGCTGCGTTCCTGATGACAACTTTTAAATTTCCAGAGGCATGTCGTTGCTCGAAGTGGACATCTCTTTACCAAGACACACATCGATGTGATCCACACTCTCTTGAAAGTCAGCACTAGCCACTACAGCGAAAATAGGGCCCAAGCTCAAAGCCTTTTGCTGTCAATGTTCAAGGTCTTCCCCTACTCCTACATGCAGGTATACTTATTGTTCATTGCGCCGAAATTGTGCTCTAGGTGCTTGACAAAATACTGGATCTGCTGAAGCCCGATAAGAACATCAGCCATGAACAATTCAAAGGAGGCCTTTATTTGCTGGTTGAAGGCAAGAGAACAGCGCTCGTCCTCAAACACAACTGGTAGCTTGACTGAAATTTTCAATAATTTGCTTCAGGGAGGCCATCTTGAAAATCTGGCCTACGCTGGTACGGGCACAACACAGCGAGAAACCATCGATCATTGCGTTGATAGAAATGGCTCAAAACAGCATCGTTGACAATTTTGAAAGCTTCCGCCTGAAAGAACACGTAAGAATCGCTATAGCTTTTCACAAGTGTTTTATCTTTTCAGGTACCTGAAGCGGCGCTCCCTTATGCTATGGAACTTCTTTTGGGAAAGGCGAAAGATGCCGGAACCCAGCGTCACGTACCCGCCAAAGGATGCCCCTCACAAGCCGAGATAGAAGCTGCTCACCAACGTTTTGACAGAATGAATGCCAGAAATTTGCAGTGCGTTTTTTAATTTCATTTAGTTATTATTCTTTAGAAATTATAATCAACTCTGCTCCGAACTTCTTGCCCTCGCATCTGATCAAACGCTGCACTGGAGGCATACGGACCTATCGCACGCACTGCTCTCCTTGATGATCAGGTAATTCACGCGTTCTAGATGATACATAAGTGAACTTTAGGCGTGATCTAGAATATCCGACTCCCGGACTGAAATTGTTTGTTCGGCTTCTTGTAAATGACTCTGTGAAAACTCGGAAAGTGGCTGGCGCTGTGGTATGTTTATACATCCAGCCCGTCACACTCTTTTTATAGGTCAGCGCGTGGTTGAAGATGAATAAACCGAAATCCTTCCGTTGTGAATATCTGTTGGATCAGGTTTGTGAGCCAATATTTCCAAAAAAACTTCTCTTTAGGAACCAAACACGGGTCCCGGCGCGAAATGGCCTATTCGGTACGGTCTACGCAAAGACAATCGAGAGATGTGCTATGATGAAGAAAACCTTCCGAAGACCGTGGAGGAGTACAACAATTTCCGGTTCTGTGGAAAACAACATTGGGGCTTCTACACATGGCCCGTCAAATTGATGACGTCAGTGATTGACTCTCTCCAATCCCTTCTTTTAGATATGGTACGTTGGCACAACAAGTCGATGTGAACCGCCCCGAATCCTCGTTTTCCGAGGTAGAGCAGTATGTCGTTGGCCTGTTCCGAGACCCAAAGTTCCTTGATCGGTAATTTTGCTCACTGCTTCACCACAATTCCCTTTAGTTTGCTAGAACTCATGTCCATCGAGGAAAAGAAAGTGAACGACACTGAGGACTACTTTAACACCATCAACTTCTCGCTGTTCCAGGTCAGCTTGGCTTGGCGGTCGTGAACAAAATTCTTCAGGGCCTTTTCCGGAACTACAACGACTCGCTGGTTGATGTCTTCCGCCCTCACCTCGAACGCCTCTGCAAAAATGAGAAGGAGCAGTCACAAAAACTAGCCGGAGAAATCGCGGCTGGGCTTGTCATCGGCTCCAAGCTTTGGCGGTATTTCTTAAACCATATGCGATTATTCCTTACAATTCAGATACGAGAAACAACAGAAGCTGTGGGAATGGCTGGGCCCACTTCTGCTAAACACCATGTTGGATCTAAAGGTAAAAATTCCTTTGAAATGGGCGATAACAGCCGATTTAGGATACGACGGTCAAGTGCTGGGGAGTATCGGTCGCGACGATGTGCGGCTGTATTGAAATGCGGATGGCTCAACCCTTGATCGAGATCCTATTTGAGCTCATCAAACGTCCGATTGATAACAACTTCCAGCTCAGCTCGTACGTTGTGCTTTTTGAATTCGTTCTATTCACATTTAGCCGTCTATTCATCATCCAAGGCGGCCTGTGTCAATGGGAATGGCGTGCTTTGGCGCTGTGGCATCGCCTGCGTCCCTTCCTCACGAAATATATCGCCCTGGGTTATCAGAATGTTCGGGAACGACTAGGCGTGTAGGTTTTTCAAACCATAATTCTTTTTTAACGTGGAATTTGGCGAAACAGTATTATTTTAGTTGCTTGACAACCTTGGCCTGGTTCGATGTTCCGACAATATACGTGGATCCGTCTCTGCCTGATAGTCTGAAGCTGCCGCGTTTTGAAGATTGCACGAAGATGATTGACCCCTATGTATGTCGCATTCGTCTGAATCCCATTGTCACAATTTAGTTGACCACGGCATGGGATGAAGTCTATCTGAAGGGTGTCATCAATCCCGAAGTCGGAGGCTCTACATCTTCTACGGATCTGATGTTCCAGCCCGGTGCGGTTGATTCTGAAGCGAAGAAGGTTAGCATTCGTCTCACTACCTAATTTCTTTTGCAGCAATCCCGTCTGGCCCTGAAAACGCTGATCTGCTTCATCCTGAATTCGACGATACAGAGCTACGTTTCATGGCCACCATCTTTCATCAAGTACATTCCGATGTTGGCTCACTTCAGCAACGATGTCGGGTAAGTTTCGGGTTTCGGAAAACTGACGTCGTTTTTCTTCCAGAGACGAAGAACTTGTGACCATTTGTCGATCGCTCTACCGCGACCTCTTGAGCACTGTGCGTGTTTCGAATGAGAACGCCGGCCCTGTCTTGGATTGTATCGAGAAGGTATGGAAAATATTTGGGACTTCTAACTAAATTATTCTTTTTAGTATTTCGAGGGACCAGGCTGGTGGAAGGCCCGACTCTTTGTTCTGCGGAATATGCGCCTACTGATCTTCTCAAATGTTTTCGTCTTCCTGGAACATCGGTATCTAGTAATTCTTGGTCTTTGAATTTCTTCAGGGAGCGCATTGGCCGAATTATCTCGCGTCAGCTTCGTTCTTCCCAACTCGAAGTCCGTGAGGCGGCCACTCAAGTGCTCTCTGGTTTGGTGCATTGTGGCTTTTTCGAAGCTACTGCTGAGCTCATGGTAACATTTATGCCTGACCTATGTAAATTTCTTATAGGGCCAACTTGAACACATGGCCATGGATAGGAATGGACCGATTTCCGATCGTCATGCTGGTGTACTTGGACTGGCCGGCGGTACGTATATAATACTTTTTACCAGGATTGCATTAGCTTATAGACAAAATCTGTGACCGTTATTACGAAATTAAAAAATCTTTTTTTAGTTGTCCTCGCTTTCCCATATTCCGTGCCGCATTTCCTGCCTGACGTGGTGATGAAGTTGTGTCGACACTCGACGGATGACAACCCGATGAGGGTAAATTCTTTAATTCAAACCCTTTATCGGTTTTAGGATACCGTCAAAAAGACGATGGCTGAATTCAAGAGGACCCACCAAGACAGCTGGCATGAACACAAGAAGGTCTTCACCGAAGATCAGCTCAGTGCACTGACGGATCTGCTCGTTTCGCCAAATTACTACGTTTGAACGATCCCTGTGAACACTTTTGCACCTGCCCAACTTTTTTGCCAAATTCTATGTGCCCACTCCTACCCGTTGCCTTTACACTTAATGAATTGCTGTATGCTGTTAATTTGTTTGTGATTGGGATACAGATAATTCATGAGGCTGTTTGTTTCGTAGGATATTCTATTGTTCCAACTCAGAGCTCCTTGAAATTAGCTTATCTATGTCTCCCTAGAACCCCCAATTTTACAAAAGCGGCATTCTTTAATAGCATGTCACCATCTCCGGGTTACTGTTCAAATAAGTATCCTTCTTGAGGCTCGACACTCTGGGCATCATTTTGTGATATCTATTTTTCCGAGATCAATTCTTCGAACGGGTCAACCCGGGAGAAGAAACAAACCTATCTGGTCATGCCACACTGGTCCCCTTTTCATCGCACTCTAGAATGCCAAGACTTTATTTTACCGAGGAAAGGTCGGGTGTTAGACGATGGAAAGTGGAACAGGTGTACATCCTTAGCTGCCAAGCATTAGTGATTGCGTGTTTCGATTTGCTTCTTTACTGGTGATATTCCTCTCTACCCCCTCCCCCCACCCACCCCGATGTTCTTTCTTTTGCACCCCCATCCGCTTGCGCACGTTTTAATTTTACATGTTGTTTACTTCTCGTTGAAGTGTCGAAATAAATTTTATCCTTTCATACGAAGCCTGCACTTTCATGGAAGAGCTGAACTCATCAAGTACCTTTCCTCGTGCTACAGAATTTCTATGGTACAGGCTCGTGAGCGAATATTGGGTGATTCGAACGTCGAGGCTGCATTTCAGAGCCGAAAATTTTGTCCCGGAAATGATTACGCGAAACACACAGGCGGTCATACGTCTGACTCGTGGCTGGTTGGCTTTCAATGTTCTACAGGTAAGTAACAAAAACACACTTGTGAAGGGCACGACGATTTTTAGTCGGTCGGATTTATCTGTTCCTGCATAGCAGACTCTCCGGCACTAGCTGAACGAACTTTTGTCAACGGATCAGTGGTCGCAACACGACAGCACGCATGCTCTACGTTGCTATTTCTTGGATTAAGGTGAGCGATCATGAAACGAAACTCCTAATCCCAGCAATCTCAGATTAGCTCTCCTTTTCGCCCCAACCTCGATTCTCATGCACCGGCTGCACATCGCGCTGTCTTCATCATTCACACTCTTTATTCTTTCCGAAGTCTATATCTTGAAGTCAATGACGGCGGACTACGCCAATTTCTTTTCAGCTGGTTTTTCTGGTGAGTTCAAAATCGAAGCAAATGAACGGTGTATTTCAGCGTTGTCTGCTATTTTATCGATGATCTATGTATGTCTTCCACAAACTGACCAAGGTAAGGCTGGGGAAACTTTTGAGCCATGTTTTTTAGCCGACGAGCATCGGCCGCGTCGATTCGGACCTCGTATATATACGAGACACTTTATGGAAAAGGACGTGCTTATCACGCCAGATACCCCGGAGATACGGGAGTTGCGAAAGCGTCAGTAGTGAGACAATTTATGATTGTGGTTTCTGGCCTTTTTTAAAGTGGCACTGACAACTATCTATCAGGAATCAGATGCGTTCGGATTCAAACACACAAGTGCCTTTAATTTTAACTGATTTAATATTTATCATCTGTCTTGAGTTTGGCTCCTCAAGTTTTTCGGCAATAAAACGATCTCTTTAAATCAAAATTAATCTCATATTTGTCTGTTATTTAACAATTGGTATTGTTTTTCTTGGTGCTCATACCTCATACAAAGCATTACGTGTACGTAATTCTGAATAAATCGTATTATTTACATTTATTAGTCGAGATTTTAATCGAGCAGCACAACGGAATATTCAATGCTGGGGCGTCAAATGCTTGCCACCGCCTTTTTCGACAGTTCCCCATTGGATTTTTGCGGGAGCTCCTGAGCAAAATGTTAATTTTTCCGAAATCGATTTACCAGGCTTCGGCGCTACACCCATCCCAACTTCATGAATCGCATCCAAATCTAGTTGATGGTAGCTGAAAAAAAAGGAGAAAATTGAATGGCGCACAAAAATCTGATTTAAATAAACTCGACTTACATTGGATGGTCATTCGGGCCCAATCGGTTCACTGTAATTTCTTTATTTACAAAAATTAAAATTCAGAATTACCCGCGTAGATTTGGTTAAAAAGAAACACCAAAAATAGCATCAAAATTTGTTGGAGCAGCATTTCTCGGGAGGTAGAAAGTTTGTTGCGGGGGTTGTTTGCGGAAGGTACTGGTACTCGGACGAGTTTTTAGATTTGAGAGATACGGTCTGTCTGCATTTGGGGGATATCCCGCCTTTTAACTTGCCATTTGGGCGAAATTGCGCGAGCCTGGGCTCGGTCTCGGCTTGTTTATCTCTTGCTCGCAGAAAAATTGAGGGATTGGCGCTCGGTTCGTTGGTAGGATGAAAAAAGAGCATTTCGAAAAGGACACTGGAAAGAAATGTTAAGGATAAATTAAATGGAAGGTATAAAAATTAGAAATGCTTTTTATCGGTAAAGGTTGCTTAACGGGGGGTTTCGTATTTCTGAAACTTATCCTGCATTTTGGATACTCCATCGGATAAAGCGTCAAAAATGCGAAATAAATCAGTAATATGAGCAGGGGCGTAGCCGGAAAAAAGTTTCGGGGCGAAAACCAAAAAATTAAGAACCGAAACACAGCGCGCGGCAAAGAGAAAAAGGCTAGTTCCAAAAAGCAGTAACGAAAACGGCCTGAATACGAGCCGGAAAAATTCGTTCAGGACGCTTTTTAATTAATAAAATTTAGGCTATAATGAAATAATAAATTTAAATTATGTTATTTTGGGCTGAGATTTGACGTCTGAGTATAATTTTTGATGCTCTATCTGATGGTATGTTTGAGTAGGTACAACGAGTCCCGATAGACAAGGAAAAATAGCCTCCACCCTCGTGATTTCGTCTCCCCCCCGTTAGGCAACTTTTACCAGATTCATGAAACTGTAGGCTTCACCACCCCCATTATCTCGTCGCGTGCCACGAAACTCGCATTCTTTGACCCCCCTGCCTAGCGCGTTGCATAGCAATCGGAAATTCCCGCCGATCATGTCTTTTCTGAAAGCCGGATTCCCGAATCGAATTAAAAGCAACGTTTTTGCACACATAAAAATTCCACGTCTGTCCCGGAATGTGTGTTCACCAATAAAGAGGGCCTTTTGTAGCGAGTGCTCGATGCCCTCTTTGAAGGTTGCATTTTTTTGTGTGGCTTGATGTTCTGTTTTGGTGATTTTCGTGTTCGAATTCTTTTTGCAAATCGGCATTTTTACACATATTCAATCATAACTTTGTGGCTGTTATTTTTAGGGTTCCTGGCGTTATCGGGGGGCGGACTTTTTCGTAAAAGTATAGACATGTTTAGTAACTCAATTTCAAATAGTTTTATGGTGTTTTTACTAAAATATAGCTATATTTCAAACAGAAAGGTATTTTAAATGAAAATTTTTATTGTTTTTAGGTTTATGAACAGCAAAAAATTGCTGATAAATACCTCCGTTATTTATATTAGAAAAATTGAATCCTAAGAAACAGTTGCCGCGCCTCCCGATAATGAGAAAGAACAATTTTTATCTTTTTATCAAATTCATACTGAAGTTTTCATACTGAAATTTATTGAAGTGTTACAAAAAACTACTTGAACGCGACGAATTTCTAGCAATGGCATATTTTTTGAGAAGCATGGGAATTTTGTGATCGATAGGTTTCCAATAGCTCCACGATTTTTGGCTCCATTTTTAATACCTTTCTAAAAGGCTAGAAAGTAGGTTTTAATCGTAGTATTTTAAATTGTAGTATAACCAAATTGCAGTAGATCTCCCCTTTCACCCTGAAGCATCCCTATTCGGGCGTTCAGCTGTTCAAATAAATGATTTGTATCGAGCGCCCCCTTCAATGGGTGCACATCATCCCTTTTCACCCCCATTTACACCTATTGCCATATAATAATCTCTTTTTTTTTATTCTTAGCATTTATTTAAAAACCAGAATTTTAAATACCGTATTTTTATCCATTCTAGCGACCTCATGAAGCGTGTATTTTTATTAATCGGCACCCTGTCGGCCCTTATATTAATTATGATGCAAACGAGAAGCGAACGGGATGATGGTGTCTATGCGTATCTTCGCGTACTCCCCAGAGTTGGCGAGCAGGCCAGCAGTCTGTTTGGATTTTTAAGAGGTGGAATTGTTCAAACACGGACGGCATAAAGGAAATAGATACTCTGCGCGAATCCGAGGCGTTTGAGTCTTATAACTTGGAACGGTTTCGGTGGTCGGGGAATCTGACTGGAGATGAAATGTTTATATATTATGCATACTTGGAATTACGGTAGGTAAGAGAGAGCGAGAGAGCGAGAGAGAGAGGGAGATAGAGAGAGATCGAGAGAGAGATCGAGAGAGAGAAAGAGAGAGAGAGAGCGAGAGAGCGAGAGAGACAGAAGAGGGAGATTGAGAGAGGGATCGAGAGAGAGAAAGTGAGAGAGAGTGAGCGAGAGAGAGTGAGCGAGACAGTGTGAAGGAGAGAGAGTGAGCGAGAGAGAAAGAGAGATAGAGAGAGAGAGGAAGCTAGAGAGAAAGAGAGCGAGAGAGTGTGAAAGATAGAGAGGGAGAGTTGGGGAGAGAGAGAGAGAGAGAGAGAGAGAGAGAGAGAGAGAGAGAGAGAGAGAGAGATAGCCTAACTTTTCTCACCTACCGATTTCAGCGATCCAGCAGGCCCAAAAATTCGAATGCTGGTAAATGCAGTCTGCAGTATTTTGAAAAAAGAAGATGTTTTAATTGATGTTGGTGCTGAAATGCCGCTCCCTTTGGAAAGAGCAATGGTGCTTGGAAGTGAGCAAATTTGAGCAAAACTTCAACATTTTTTAGCTGGCGGCTGTAACGGGGGTGGAGGCGGGCATTGCCGGCTACAAGAAATGGAATTTACATCGGTTGTTTGGCGAGGACCAGTGCCGGATGAGGTATTTTTTGTAACAAATACAAAAAATACAAAAGAAAACAATGGGTTAACAAAATACAATTTTATTTAGATAACGGTCCATCGGAAAGGGTTCCAAGGCAAGGTGAAACTGCATCGTATGCATAAGGAATATAAGCAGGGGATTAATTCATGTATTATTGCTCCATTATTCTGGTATAATTTATTAAATATTTAGATTCTCTTTTTAAGGTATAATGACTGGATTCGACTGTTTGTCAATATTGAATTTTGGAAGAAAACGGGTGTTGGGAAAATATTGATTCATGTGCATAGTGTGTCGGAATCGGCCAAACGTCTTTTGGATTATTATGTAGATGAGGTAAGCTAGATTAATAGATACAAAATATTGTATTTTAGGGTGTTGTCGATATCCGGCCATTTCCTTGGATGCCATATACCGATAATTACAATCCAAATGATCATACTTACTACGCGGCCGAGCATATTACAACATTCTTTTGTGCCCTATGGTCGGATACGGTATTTACGACAATGAACGATATCGACGAGCTATTCTGGGTCCGGTTAGTTAATTTTATAATCCCAAAAATTACACATTTCGCACTCCCAACGAAACTCTGTTACAACTTGTTGAGCGTTTGACAGATGCAAAGACACATCCAGATGTTGGTCAGTTTATTTTTGACTCTAAAACGTAGCATCGCGTACTATTTAAAGTACTAGAATCTGAATTTAATACTTAATTTTAGCTGCGTTATGGCTGGGCCATCATGCCCTAGTCTTCAGTGGTCCAATGGTGCCGGAACCCTGGGATTTTGAGAACATGAAGGAACTAGATTTCTTGAGGAATCCCATCGGCTTCGAGCAGGGCAGAGCTGGAAAAGTAGGTAGTTTACTGATAACACACACTTAGGCTTAGCCATAGGTTTAAAACTAGGCTTAAGATTAGGCGGAGCTTAGGCTTAGGCTTAGCTTAGGCTTGGAATTAGGCTTGCTAGGGTTCGGCTTGTTGGACTTCGGCTTGTTAGGCTTCGGTTTCAGTTTAGGCTTAGGCTTAGGCTTAGGCTTAAACTTTAGGTACCTCTGATCGATTTCCCATTAATCGACCAATTTTCAGTACCTCTACAAGACCCAGTACGCTAAATTACCCTGGATTCATGGAATGAGGGAATTCTATTCCGGAAAAAGAGACGAAATGGCAGGCTGCTTTTTAGCGGGAAAAATGTTTCTTTAGATCCCCAAGGAATCAGCTGTCTATCTTCATATGCGATCTGACTATTTGTCAGCTGAAAATAAAACCAATATTTTCCCAGGGCTGCAGTTATTTAATGTAACTAACCTTATTAGTATTGTTCTTATTGTTTATTTTAATATCACTTTTTACAATTTTATTTTCTCTTAGGAACAAGAATTGGCGAATCTACATGAAACACTCGACTACATTTACCGTGGATTTGATCCAACGGTAGAAATGGCAAAAACAAATCCAGTAGTGGAAGAATGCCGAATAAAGTGAGAGCTATAAAATTAGACGTTAATTTTAAATCAAACTAGATCGACGAAACAATTCAAAGACTGGGATTGTATAATGCCGACCGGATCGATATGTCATGATGCGATGAAAGATCTTGATCAATGGCTCTACGCGATGCCAACGGAAAATTCAATGTGGACCCCGATATAATCCTGAAACCTAACTTTCTCTATTTTTTTTATTTCATTATTTTGTGTTAAATTTCGCCAATACATATCAGATTCTTTGGGATTTTAATTTATTCTGTTTTTTTTTATACGAATAGGGTATTATTAAAATTTAGAAAGTCGAGTTGTGATTTCACATTTTTTGCTGCATTTTCTATTGCTGATTTATCTCAATCAGTTATTCAAAATAAATTTAAACCCGTGTCGTGATTAAATACACGTAATCAAAAGTGAGCAACAGGGTAGCGAGCACCAACTTCACGCAATCTCAAGGCAATGACAAATCTTTTTCAGCGTACGATCCGTGACGCAATGGGACGTGTTACCGTATCTAAATGATTTTACATACCTGTTTTAACACTTAAAAACTTACTTATTATTTCTCTCCACCTCCCCACTCGGTTCGTATTCCCTGGCATCCATTTTCTTCACCAATAGCCCTTCAATTTGAGCCCCACTCGGAGCTGCAGCCTCAACCACGATACGGTAGCTAAAGCGCAGCATAAGCGTTAAGATCGTGGGAACGAACTGAATTTGAATGCCATCACGTGGTAATTGCCCTCCAGTTTGCGGATCATCGATCATTTTTGAGGGTGGCAGTCGAACGGATGCGAACGGAATCGAGGCCAACTCTAGCTTTTGGCAAGTGTATTTTTTGAACTGTAAAGTGTTTTTGGAAGTTAGAAAACTAAACCAACGTCTTTTCCTCGAGAGGCTTCTTCTTCCCATCTCAGTTTTTCTTGACGATCGAATGTGGAAAGCATCGAGTTTAGGTAGGCGAGAAAAGCCTGGAATTTTTGGTACTGGTGAGTTAGCGGGGGGTTGGCGGACTTTTCCTATTGCCCCGAAGGCGCCAATAGTCAAATTTATATAATTTATGTATTTTCTTACAGTTTTCACTATCGAAAAAAATACAAATACAAAATAAATCAAATAAAATTTTAAACCATTTGTTTTTGTTTAAAAATGTACAAATAATAAAAAAATAAGAATTGATAGTGGCTCGAAAAAATACAGCGACTCTTTATTCATGAAAAACTACTAAAACACGATAAAATTACTCTAAATCGGCTATCTTGCTTCACCCCCCTATTAATTCACCAGTACCCGATTTTTAAGACGGTTATAAAGTAATGCCCTACCTGTGCCGGTGCTTGCGCTTCTTCAGCAGGTATTACTATTTCCGTAAAACAAGGGCAATAATCCTCAGGAATATGTGCTTCGTGACAAGACCTTCCTTCCGGTATCGGCTGCCATAATGAATATGCCCTCTGATGTGGATGTCCCATTTCCTCTTGCATAAAAGAACCCTAGAAATTTCTCTACCAGAAATATGGCTTCAACTTACAGTAGCCACACGTAGCAACGTCTCATGCATATCAAATTGGGTGGTCATTATGCCAGAGTTTGTCTTGAGGGCCTTGACTACATGAGGATACTTTTGACGGATGCTGATGGGGATGCGGATTGAGAGGAATGGCAGACGCGCCTCCAGACGGCCAACTATCTATGAAACAAAGATTTATCGATAATGTTTAATTCAAACCGTTTCGCGTATCTTATCGTATCGATTGCCATGGTCACTGAAAACAATCGTGATCGCGTCATCGAGAAATGCCGAGTTTCGCTCGAGAAAACTGGCATAGCTGTGGTCGGTCTGGCCTAAAATGTTCCTTAGGTTAGACTTAGGCTTAGCTTAGGCTTAGCTTAGGTTAAGCTTAGCTTAGGATAAACTTGGGCTTAGGTTAGGCTTAGGCTTACAAGGAGTGCCTTTTGGGTGTCATCGGCAAAACCTTCCGAGACCTAGCTCATTCGATAGAGAATTCGATTCTGAACAAAACCCCGTTGTTCTTTTTTGCAGAATGGCTATCCCTGATTTTATCAAATTTTAAAACTGCACCCAAAAGCCTCTCTTTTGGCTCGAAAGGCACTCATGGTAAGAGACGGTCACTAGTATTTTAATTTTATAAAATCAGGGATAGCGATTCTGCAAAAAAGGACAACGGGGTTTTGTTGAGAATCGAATTCTCTATCGAATGAGCTAGGTCTCGAAGGGATTTGCCGATGACACCCAAAAGGCACCCCTTGTTAGCTCAGGCGTAGGCTTAGATATAGGCTTAGGTATCCTCACCAATTGCATTCAAATAATCATGGCTCATATCTTGATTCCACCAAAAGACAAAGCTGCGTTTTCCGTGGTATTCTTTTATGAAACTAAAATGTGGTAAATCTATCATATCTCAGACTACCGTACCTCTGCAAATAATCAAGTTGAATCTCATGTTTTGGCGTCCCATCATAGCAAAATGGTTTTGACCTCAGTCCAACAAGCGACCAAAACGCAGCTAGCCAATAGCTTCTAAATTAAATTCTTAAAATGGGGGAAATGGGATTTTATACCTAAAATAATGGTCCGTCGGCGCTCGCTTGAATCCGTTCAATTCGCCAAAATAATTAAATGTCCCGATATCAGGTCGATCTTCAGCAAATAACGTAGCATAACCTAAAATCCGAAAATCATTTTCATAAGCTAATTACTTGCCGTGCTCCGAAAAATTCTTCCAAACCATCGGGAATTCATCAAACCAGATGTGCCATTCATCGGGAAGTTCGTTTGTGAATTCCTAAAATGCGAAATATAGGAGTGCTGTATGTAAATACGTACCTTAACAGCTGTTCCGCGTTTTCCTGTCAGAATCGCTAACCAATTTGCATACGTATTGTCGCCGATTTTTACATGGCTTGAGAGGTCTTGGAAGCTAAAAGTTAACGATTTCCATACTTTTTGGAAGCCACCAGATGGTCAAAATACTAATAATAACATTTTAAAACTACATAATCACACATATTCAATAAATTCTTACCCCATATTTTGCATAATACGGTAGGTATCTTTCATTTGACGCCGAAAATTCCCAAATGACATCGAATCCAGGCCCAACATAATTACGGCTGGGTACTCGGTTGTGGAAGGCAAAATTTTTCTGTAAACGCCATAATGGAAATATTAAAATCCTTAGCTTATTATTAATATAATTCAGTTAAATACATATATTATCAAATAAATTAACAAGCCATATTGATAAACCTCCGTACTTTCCGACTAGGTTGACCTCCTTGGCCCGCAGGTTATGGTAATGAAATTTATAAACGTTTCTTGTCATTAGTCCAGTGGAATCGCAAGTTACCTAAAAATAACTTGAAAACCACTAAAAATTTCCTTAACATACCTCAATAAATTCATCTTGAACTGCATGCTCTACTGAAGCTGATAAATCTATCTAAAAAGCTCTAAGATTTTATTTGATATAAAAATGATACCTTAACCTTTTCCCCAAATTCAGCTGTATTATCTTGTTCTCCTTTGATAACCGGCTGGATCCAGCAATTTAGAGAAAGTCGATCAATTTCCGCTTTATCGAACTGAAAGCGAAAGCTTGGCTTTAGGCTTAGGCTTAGGTTTATGCTTGACTTGGCTTATTCTGGGAACTCACAATGATTTTACCATCCCGAAAACTAGTGAGATTCGGTTGAACGGCGGAACATTTTAATGGAACTTGTTTTTCATAATATTTTAGAATCGAGGGATCCCATGGGTCTGGATGGGGTACACGACAATCAGATTTCTTCGATTCCTTCTTTTGGAGTTGCTAAATTCATTAAATTTTTATTTTTTGAGCCCAGGAACTTACCTGAAAATGCTTGAATTCGACAGAAAGCGTCGGGGTGCGGAAGAAGGGAAGCGCGTAGAGTATTAGAATGTAAAGCACAGCGATCAAGAGCCCGATACGGGCCAAAAATCGTCCGGAAATGGTGCGAGACCACGTCAGCCAACGCTCACGCGCCCAACGCATCCGCAGAAATTTGAGCACGAGTTTGCGTCGTTTCTGGCTGTGGACTAAATGAGGATGGTTTTCAACGCTGGAACTATTGAATAAACGAGATTACAGGATTAATAAAGTTGTTTTAATGGCATTATGCCTTGATAATAACAAAAAATTGGAAAATAAAAATAGAAAAGCATCCTCTACGGCTTATTGGCTATGGCAAGGCCGGTGGGGCCAAATTGGCGTTTGTCCGGCTGGTCGCTAGGTTAAGCAAATATTCTGAAGGGCAGAACGGGGGGAAGGAGGAAGAAAAGAAGAGGCGAGAAGACACAAACCCCGGCAGGCCTGTCACATATCGATCTCAATGCTCGAATCACCCGGGTTGGGTTGCCGGAGCGGGCGTTACTTTTTCAGATTTTCAAAGGACTAATTGAAATATCTCTGCCACTGTCGATATCTCTCTCTTTTCTCTCTCTCTCTCTCTCTCTCTCTCTCTCTCTCTCTCGCTCTATCCCGATCTTTCTTTCTTGATCCCTCTCTCCCTCTTTCTCACTCACTCTCTCACTCACTCGCTCTCTCTCTCTTTCCATCTGCCAATCTCTCGCTTCCTCTTGCTCTCTTTCACACTCTCTCGCCCTCTCTCACTCTCTCTCTTTTTTCCCGATCTCTCTTCGGGTCTCTCTCTCTCTTTCTCTCTGTCTCCCTCTATCTCTCAACCTCTCGCTCGCTCTTGCTCCCTCTCACAATCTCTCTCGCCCTTTCTCACTCTCTCTCTCTCTTTACCGATCTCTTTTCCAGATCTCCGTCTTTCACGATCCCTCTCATTTTCACTCAGTCTCTCTCACTCGCTCTTGTTCTTTCTCTATCGCTATCTCTCATTCACTCTCTCTCTCTCTCGATCGTTCCCTCTTTTTTGCTTTCTGGTGAAATTACTAAACGCAGATGCTCAAAATCCACAAAAATTCGACTAATTTATTCAAAACATTTAATGCTGTTTGGTTTTCTTCGTGACCCGTAGAAGCGCGATACCTAAAAATTACAATAAATAACGTATTTTTAGTTTTAGTTTTTCAGGATCTGGTAATTTCAAATAATATAATTTTATGGCGTTTTTAACTTTTCACAAAAGACGTGGAAGGAACCAAAAGTCAACAATAGTGCGGGCCGTTCCTGGGAAGCCGCCTTTAAAGCTTTAGCCAGAACACTCGTCTCAAGTGCTATTCCCCCCCGATTTGGGATGGAGCGGAACAGGGGCCGATCGGCCCCTTCGTTCCACATTTTATTAGTAGAAAAAATATAAAAACATGCAGCTGCTCAGAAGAAGCTCCGATTCATCAGCTCCTTCCAGACGTTGTTCACCATCGGCAGCCAAGAGCGAAGTTCTGGAAGTTTGAAATGTGTGTCAAAGCTTAAGACTAAGCCTAAGCCTGAGCCTAAGCAAGCCTAAGCAAGCCTCAAATAAGCTAACGCTGATGAAACCTTCGAAAAATTCCATAAATGCCTCAATACTACTTTCTCCAGTTTTACAAAACCACAAACTCGTGATAACAGCCTGATTGAACGAAGCGGCAGCTGAAGCATTTTCGCTAGGGGAATGCTGTGGTTTCCGGTGGACACGACATTCCCGTTGGGACACACATTGGCCACGGGCGTCACGGACAAGCCCCATTCGACATACACACCCCCTTCAGGCATTGCGTCTTAAAAGTTCCGATTAAATATATAAGATTTTTACCGTAATTTTTCAAACGCAATTTAATTTCACTTACCCGATCGCAAAGCGGCGCTTGGTTATTACACGTCGGTTCACAGTCACGACAGGCCCATACCTCTTTTTCCACACAAGCACCTAAGAACGATGAAACTGTAAAAATTAAATAATGGGCCCTGACCTCGAAGTTCCAATTTTTTAGCGGGACGATGCGACTTTCGGGTAAATTCCTTTAGCGGTATTGGATCGTGGGGTGAAGCCTGGAATTGTAATGATTTTTCCTGGTTTTGATATTTGACGCAGGTTCAGGGATTACGATGAATACTGTTCTGTTAGCGGGGGGACTAATTTTGGTTTTTTGCCTGTACCTACCTGTTGATTTTCGTGGTTTTCGATTGCTAGAATGTGCAAAAATACATCAAGAATTTTGAAAATCCAGAGAAGACCTTTTGATAATTTTCATGATGCTATGAAATGGTTTAGTTTTTCTTATAGGACCGTACAAGTTTGGTGGAAAAATTCGTTTTCCCGCTGCTAATAGTTGCCCCCCCCCCCGCTAACAGTCCAGTACCCCAGTACGTATACACCTACTTACGCGGAGAGAGGCGATGAAAATAAAACTTGGTACCTACCAATGCTTCTTTCGGAATAACCTCCATACATTCTGGATGTTCATGAAGACGATTCTGCAGATTCCAATATTCGCATATCTCCATCCCAACCGCCCCCTCAATCGCTAGCAGCTAAATTAAAATTTAATTTATTTCCTAAAAGATGTCCACAAACCGTAAGTAGGAACATCGGGGTCATTTAGCCGTGCTCGGATTGCTAGGACAAAATTGGCTGTCGGTATGGAGAGCTTTGGGGGGAGCAATCGGATCCTCCAGAACTGAGGGGTGGAGCTGTTTGTTAGCTGGCCCCGGAGGGGGCCCTTTGGTCCTTTCGGGGACCTTGTGAAAATGGCCCTCCAAAATCACGCCTCCAGCCACCGCATGAGAAGCCGCATCTATTTTTGAAACTTTATTCGGTTTTCCAGAATGATAGCAGCACGATAAAGGAGACAAAATTGACGATTTGGAATAGGATCTGGAAGATGACGTGTCGTTTCCGGCGTCCAAATTCGGTGAGGCGAGCTCTGGGGTTTGATTAAATTATAGTTCTAGAAATAACTTTGCTTACAAATAAGTGTCGATAGGAGTATCGCAGACTTTTGCGGATTTTTCCATTTCGGATCTGGCCTGGCAGAAGGCGACTACGACAACTGATGCCAGGGCGGTTAATCCGACACAGATCACCACGTAGAGGCCTTTAATGGAAATTTATGTATATTGAAATATCAAGAATTTACAAATTAGCTTGGAAATACTAATTTTGGCTTAGGATATAATAGGCCTAGGATTAGGCTAATGCTTAGGCTCACAATTTTAGCTTAGGATTCAAAGCCTAGGCTTTAGCTTAGGCTTAGGAGCTTGAGATTAAGAGCTTAGGCTCAAGCTTAGGCTTAGGCTTGGCTTAGGATTGGGCTTAGGTTTAGGCTTATGCCTAGGCTTGGGTATGGGGTTAGGCACGGGATAGACACAACCGATAATTTAATGTTGCCTACCAAGAAGCGGGAAAGTCGACGTTTTTGGTATGGCTTGCGAGACCATATCCAAAAGAACTGTCATCGATACCAAACTGGTCAACCCAATGCTTAACTGAAAACTATATAATTAAAATAGTTTATAAGCCTAAGGCAACCTTTGCCAGCTGCTCCTCCAAACAATTTGGAGTCCAAAACATGCCGACAATCGACAGTAGCGTCAGAATAAAGCACGGCAAGGCGATCACGTAGATGTAGAAATTTGGCACCCGATTCATCGCGATCACGAAAGTTAACTAAGGTAAGTAAATTTATATTTCTTGGGGGAAATTCTCACTAAATCCATTCTTTCCGCACCAACCCCATAGCTATTCATTTCTATCGACACGTTCTTCACGTCCCATTCGCCATTGCCCTGAAAATTCTTTGGTACTGGACTCTTAGCGGGTGGGGGGGGTAGAGGGAAAACTATTCTTGTTGATAATAGCTACTTGATTTTATCGTGTTTTCTGTAGTTTTTGATTGCTAGAAAGATGACGAGAATTTTAAATTTTTGAACATTTCATAAACTGTTGGCCAAAAAATAGAAAATGTCGAATGCTTTAAAGATTTTTATGGGTTTTTATATCTAAAAACAGTGTAAAATTGCATAAAAAGGTTTATATTTCGCTATCAGTCCTTACAGAATTACTGTGAAAATTTGGTCCGCCTCCCGCCCCCGCTAACAGGCAAGTTCCGGTACAGTACAGTATGTTTTAAAGGGGGTTGCGAGTTATTAACAAAACTTACACTTCCAGAAAAATCAAACCCATCCGCAAGTGTCCCAGTCATCGAGACGAACTTCCTATTTTACACCTCTTTTTGCTAAGTAAAAAAATACCAATCATAGGAAAATACCATGAACTGAATCGCGCAGCGTTGCTTGTCAAATGGAAAATCCGACACCTTAAATAATTAGACTAAACTGGTACTTAATTTAACTTACATCCACTTTACAACTAATTTCAGCATAATAGACGTTGGGCATGGATACGGTACCGTTTGCGTATATTTGGACGACACGCTGCTGATCGGGGTGAATGAGTTTGAGCTCTTTTCTGAAAGTGGAGAATGAGAATGAAACGTTGCCGCGACGCCACCGCTGCGGGTCGCGCGCGGTGAGCTAAAAGCCCTTAAAAACGAACTCACGCGTCTCCAATCTCGTTCTCCGGCTGCCACACCGCATCCACATTTGCCCACATCGTGTCGATTCCACCGTATTCGGAGGGGTCCCATGCTAATCGAATATCTTTCCAGGTCTGAATTAAATTTATGTTTTAGTGTTTTTAAAGGGATGGGGCTATGGATTTTTGGCCTACGCAACGCTACGGAAAACGTCAGGCAACGTAATATGTAACGCGGCGCGCCACGCGACACGTAACGCGGCACGCCACGCGACACGTAACGCGGCACCCGCGTTTTCTACTGCGCCGCACGCAGCGTAATACGCAACGCGACCGCAGCGTCACTCGGAACGCGACACGCATCGCGGTAAGCAACGTGAGACGTAGCGCGACGCCTAACACGATGCGCAAAACGGCACGTAACGCGACACGCAACGAGCCATAATCTGTTACGCGTTGCGTCACGTGTCACAGATTCAGATCCAGATAAGCCTGCTATTTATGAATATTCATTGGGTAATTTCTGGCTATTTTTGCCACCACAGAGCGTGCGCGTCGCGTTCGGCGACCGCCTTTCATAGATCATGCTTTTCTTTCGGTTTAATACTCACCAATATCGCCTCCAGACAAGCTGAAAGCACCTGGCTTTGCGCGTCCTAAAAATGTATTTTCCGTTCGTTTTCGTGAAAAAATTACCAATTCAAATATCCGCAAATACCACATCATCACATCAACGTTAAATCGACCGATTGGGGCTTCTTGAAAAATATTAAAAAAGCTTCTGAAAAACCCTACCGGTCAAGTTATCCGGCATTAATGCATAAATTGGGGAGTGCAACTTTTGGTAATTTCTCCCATTAAAAACATCGTTATATAGCCGTCCTGCTGTGTTGATATAGTTTGAATATATATCTAGAAACGTAGAATAATGATGATTTTTTGATAAAAAACAGTGTTTTCTCGAAATCTTGATCTTTTAAAAACAACTTACAGTTCTCCCCAAATTTTGTATAATCAACATCTTGCGATACCGTAAATCCACTCAATAATAGCAATAGGAAAATCATTTGCGAGTGGCAGCAGGTGTTGGGAATGTTTGGAAGGGGTTTCGTCTGAAATCGGATTGGTTTTTTTGAGTACTCGGCGCCGCCATAAAGCACCGGCCCGTAATTACCGCAAATGCAATTTTTAGCAACCCCCAATTGTCATTCCCAATTCTCAAAAAAGCGGGGCATAACCATATCAAAAGCGCTCTTTAATGCCGCCTAAAAATCCTTAAAAGAATAAGAATAGAATACATGAATGAATAATGGAGACCTACCCAAAAAAGACAATCTTTCCGCGTGAATACCCTGGCTCTAAAAGCCCCAAAATGGGGCTAGGGGAGCGGGAAGTCGCTGGGGTCACGCAATCGGTAAATATGCAATTTTCTATCAAGTTTTTTGGCCGTCGTAGCGCCGATCCCTGGCCCCGCGAGAGGAGGGAGGGAATTCTCGAATTTCGTGGAGTTCGATGGTTGAATTCGGTGGAGAGTGGATGACGTTTTGAAGTGTGGAAAAATCTTAAAACAATTGGACTCTGGCTCAGTAAAGCTGACACTTTTTTTAGATAGCATGACCTTTAGCATGGGCTTGACAGGCTAGGCTTATGGTTGGGCTTAGGTATAGATTTAAGCTTAGGCTCAAGCTTGCCCTAGACGATCTGTAGGCTTAGGCTTAGGTTTAGGCTTAAGCTTAGCCAAAGCTTTCGTTAGTCGCAGGATTCTGCTCATGCGTAGCACGACATTTTTGCTCAGATTCATGCTCATGCCCAGGGATGAGTTTTAACTCTACTCATGCTCAACCGCTCATCCTGCTTTTCAAAAGCTCCCAAGCTGTTGCTCCTCCGCCTGACCGATCGTCAAGATAAAAGAAACTAGTCGGCCATGCCGGTTCTCCGACCTCGAGCTTTACCACGATCAATTATTGAGCTCTCTCGACCAAATCCGGCAAACCATGCCCACGCGCCCTGATTTTTCCAATTTACTATTTGCTATTTTAATATGTTTTCTGGGTGGGATCATCCTTTACAAATCGATCGTCAGTAAGCCGGATTTAAAATTAGCTCTTTTCAAATTTTATTTTTTGTTGATGTCGCTGTGACATCTCCTGAGCGGAAAACAAAACTTGAGCACCAAATTGCATCTTCAACATTAGTAGGAAAAACAGTAATTTCAGGTATATTTAGTTTACCTTTAATTATCAAAGTTTTAGGGACGAATTCTTCGGAAAAATTCCTATTCGCCGATTTCTATGGTTTCAAGCATGGGGCTGGCGTTGGGAATAGAGTATTCGAATGGATTTCATTTCTTGGGATTGCGACTAGCTTGTATCGGTGATTTCAACGGTACTGGACTGTTAGCAGGGGGGGGTTAGCAGGGGAAATCCATTTTCCCAGTAACCCTGTACGCTACTATAAGCAAATATAAAGCATTTTATAGCATTTTACAAGGTTCATGAAAAACTTCTAAAATGTCAAAAATGTGTGTAAAACTGTAAAATATTTTTGTAATTTTCAGGCAATAAAACGAGCCAGGCACCCTATGAAAATTCACGATTTATTATTTATCAAGGAAAACACCAAAAATAACTTTTCCCCGGCCAACCGTTTCAGTACCATTTTAACCATTTTCAAAAATCTAACCCAGCTCCCCGGCCATCGATATCGACGACAGCCTCGTCGAATTGCTCCTCAAATGGCAAAAATCTTTCCCAAATATCCTATCGACAATTGTGATCAAAAGAATGGTAAAAAGACCCAATTTTCTAACAAGGGAAGTGCACGACCGGCCCACGAGAAATCGACACGAGACATAGTGGATCTGATAGAATCGGACACGGGGATTCCGAATCTGTAATCAGAATTTGCTAAATAAAACGGAGAAAAAAGTTATGAAGCTTCAAAGTTGGCAAAATCGCCCAAAATCGAACTTTTATGGGCCTGTAAAGGCCCAGGGAATGAAAATTTGCCAGAACCCATTAGTGCATCTTGTTCAGCAGAAAAAGCGCTTTCGAATGAGCTATCTTACTTTAAGTTTACGATGATTTCGCGAAAATCTCTTCTATGAACTTGACAGGCCATACATACCCTTGCCCGTGAATCCAAAAAAACTTTTTTCAGTGAATTGTTTGCAAATGCTACGTATTACAGCTCATTCTAAAGCGCTTTTTCTGCTGAACAAGCTGCACTAATTCTTTTCTCCTCAATTCCGTTCCACCGGTTTTTACGGGCCCTTAAAGGTACGGTTTTGGGCGATTTTGCCAACTTTGAAGCTTCATAACTTTTTTCTCCGTTTTATTTAGCAAATTCTGATTACAGATTCGGAATCCCCGTATCCGATTCTATTAGATCGACTATGTCTCGTGTCGATTTCTCGTGGGCCGGTCGTGCACTTCCCTTGTAAGCTAACTGAAGGTCGATTTCTAGCAGAATTATTCGACCGCCATCATACCGTATCGAGGTTGTTGTAAATACACAGATCCGGCCCCGATTTTTGACGAATTTGCTGATAAACCCACAGTTTTCGTTCGGCTACGTTATATGCAGGTGAGAGAGTTAATCGTTGTAAAATCTATTTTAGTGTAGAGCTTCGCATACTTTGCGCACCTTGATCGGAAAGAAATCATACGTCTGCTCACATTTTCACCTACAGATATTAAAATTTCCAAAAAAGCCGAAGTTTCAATCTTTTAAAAATGCTTAAGATATTTTTTGTAACTTTCTAGCAATCGATAACTATGAAAAAGTTGTAAAAAGACACTATTTAATATTAACAGGTATATACAGAAAAACAAAAATTAGTTCTTCCGCTGCAACCGCCCCACCCCCCCCTAACACTCCAGTAACTTCAAAACGAGCATTACAATTCAGATTGGTCCCACCGATTTTCCGATTCATATCGCCTCCCAGAATCCAAACTGGCCCACCCATATCATTGGATATTTTCACGTCTTTACTGTGATACAGTAGTTCTGACGGGTTAGTTGAAACTTCCGGTATGTGGAATTTTTTTTGTTTTTAGCTTCCTCATCAACGTATGGTTGGTGGCTTGCCTATTTGGCGCGCGGGACAACGGTACTGTACAATGGACAGTTTTCCAAGCCGGGCGGAATAGAGCGAAAAACCGATGGCCCAAAATTTTGGCCGCCATCGTGGACAAGGATTATTCAATCGTGGAATGATTCTAGGATTTATATAACTTGATAAATGTCTAAAAGACCGTTTACGAGCCAACCGAACAGGGGCTGGCACAGCCTTTTTCGATCCGGTTTTTTCGACACGATCGGATAGAGCATGCTCGAATTAGTAAGACCGCATAAATTTAAGATTTTAAGAGCTCATTTTAAACTTCTTTACCACTTTAAATGGCCGTTTAAGGGTAGTATCTATACCGAAGTGATATGAGGAATTTAATCAATTTTTATTGCTATTTATTAGACCCACTTTCTAACCACTAATTCTGCGGAAAAATGGCCACCCTGGCCCATTGTGCGCGTACCATAGGTTCAAAGGCCCTCCACCCTCTCCCCGTCCGACGGGGCGCCATAGTGTATTGGCAACGCGCGCGGTCTTTACCCCTCCATACCCCGGTTCGGATGCTTTGTATATTTATAATATCTTTTGCTTTTTGCTTTTTGGCCCAGAGGTGGCCCAAGGCCTAAATGATCGTTTGCAACAGCTTTCAAAGGTTTAAAAGCTAAAAAACAGCCCGGTAAACGTTTTTTGAAACAAAATTGTGAGTTGCAAGCTGGCACTGGAAAACAGCCAAAAAGTCTTTATATTTGAGAAACTATCATTTTCTCAGTTTTTAGAGTGTTCACAGCATTCTAGAAAGTACAACATTCGATGCAGAAAATTTTTGCGCATCTTTTATGCTATTGACATGCTACAGGCGATACCCTAGATACTAGAAAATTTGAGTAAGACGCGGACGGCCTTTTAATCCGTTTTATTCGTCTATGTGTATAAATGTTTTATTCTTTTTGTTCGGCTAATTCCCTAAATTAGTTTATTCGTCTTTATTTTCCATTCGAAGCCGAATTTGGTGTAACAGAAACGGTCGCCGTCGCGCGTCGAGATTGCAAAAACCTCCCGATTGGTGTCCATACCTTTTGGCGGATTTTTCTAAAAAAACTTTTATATAAGTTTTTATATTTTCTTACCTATCCAAAATCAGAGACACAAATGCATTCATCCCGTTGCACAGCATCCAATAGATACAGACGTAAAAATTCGTCCATTTTGTCACCTCCAACCACTATGAGGAAAATTTATGTGGCTTCACGGCTAACTTTCCTAGCTTTTAATAATCAAAAAGATATTTTTGTCATCTTTTGTCACGAAAATACTTTCAAATATTAGTAAAGTCGAAAATTTTGACCATTTTTGGTTATTTTCATAAAATTTTTACCGCCAGAAAGTGTATTTGCAAGCCTATGTTATAGCGCCGCAAGGGATACTGCGCTAAATTTGGTCAGCGCTACCTCAAAAAATCGTCCCCCCCCCCTGCTAACAGTCTAGTACCGCAAAACCCACTTCTCCCAAATGATGCCATAAATTGATAAGCACAAATATATTGACAAAGACAACGACCGATTGGATGAATATACGCAGTTCATACTTGTAACTCGAGCTCGACACCAACCGTTTGCGACTCTGTACAAGTCACGATATTTTCGTCGCGAAAAATCTACCGTAATCATAATCACGATCACGATTATATATGCGGCAAAAGCGCCAAAAACCAGAGGCATTGATATCCAAAATTCGACAACCATTTGTGTGGCGCTCCAGGGCTGTAACGACGTCTAAGCCGGCGCCAATAACTGTACCATTTTTGTGTCGTAGCTCCATGCATAATCGCCAAACTCAAATCCGCTTTTGATCCACGAGAATAGCCAGAAAATAATGGCAAAAATCCAGGCGATAAAGATGGCCGCCTAAAAAACTTGGGCTGAAAGGTTAGCAGGGGGAAACTACAGGGTGGTCCATAAGTATTGTCGCCCATTTTGCCGGGCCATATCTAATCGGGGCCGTGTGCGATCGGCTAGTTAAGCATAGTTTCTAGAGAACCTCAAAGTTTCAGCTTAAAAATGGCTTTTGAGCGGCTCCGCTGGCGACAAAAAAAAATTTATTTACTAAACTTGCCATTACAATTGAAAGAACAGTAAAACTCTGCTAGCAGAATTTCCAAACAAAAATTTTCGCATCTCCGTTTTTGAGCAAGCGCTATTCAAAGTTTCGGGGAACCCGGTGCGCCGCCCTCGGCCTACCCCGTATGTAAAACTGAGATCGTGGCTGCTAGAAAACTGGGAAAACTGTGACAATTTTTTTGGGTATAGCTAAGGCTTTTTTCAACTATTCCCAAATTTTAAGCGCAGAATTCCACTTGAAGTTCAAGAAAATCGAGATTTTTGTCTAGTGGTAAACGCCAGCCAATTTTAGTTCAGATCAAAGTCTGAAAAGTTACAGGAGCCTAGCTCAATATGCCATTGGAAAGAAGACGTCAGGTAGCATAGTAATACCATATAGGATTGCCGCCGGGTAGCCCTAGGAAGAAATAAAACTTCGAAAATTAAAAAATGACGGGATGCCCTGAATTTGCGGATTTTCGTCCAACATTGCGGAGGCCATAGCTCCTTCAAGCGACAAGCTGGTTAAATTTTCATTTGGGAAAATGCAGAACAATGCTGTAGCTACCATAAACTCACTGGAAAAAACATCCTGACTCTCAAACGCTGGATTTAGAGCCCTTCTTCCCGAAATTCTGGCGCGGCGCACCCCAACCTTTGTCGCCCACTTTAGACAAATTATCTCTCTTAGAAGCCATTATTCCAAAAAACTTTCTAAAGCAAAGTGGTTTCTAAGGCTTGTCTGAAGCTAACCTAGTTGGCTAAATGGCTCAAATCGCCCAGTGGGACAAGATATGACGCCTTGAAAAACGACAATACTTATGGACCACCCTGTAATATTTCCGCGTAATCCTGTACGGTCCTATAACAAAATCGAATCCATTTTATAACCTTCTACGTAGTTTTTAGGTATTAAAGGCTAAACACACAAAAATAATTTTCAAAAGCTGTGACTTTTTGGTGAAAAATGTATGAAAAATGACCAAAAAGACGTAAAGTTTCGAGTTTTCAAAAGTGACTGAAAGGTTTTCATAACTTGTTAGTGATTAAAAACATCATAATTTAGTTAGTCGGACAAGCGAAAGTTAGTTTCCCCTGCTAACAGTTCAGCGCCAAAGCCTTACCGTCCAAATTAATTCATTGTCGTGAAGGCCCGAAATTAAAAATATACGGGCCATTACGAAAAGCCGTTGGATACTAAGAAAGAAATGAATGGTCAATGCCCCCATCCACGCTGAATTCATTGCCGTACCAATTATCTGAACTCCACTATACTCCGATTTCACCCAACCCACCGAAAGGACAAAATGGTAGTTGACGGATAGGGCCGGAAACCACACAAAAATGCCGTTCAACTCGTGGAAGAGAAGTTGGAAACAGTCAAAGATCCCGAGATGCATCAACATTTTATGGCTGGCAGAACGGTAGAGCTCACGATCGAATGCGACTTTCTAAATATCGACTTTTTCAGGATCTAGCCTAGGCCAAAGCCTAACTCTCAGCATAAACCTAAGCCCAAGCCCAAACCTTACCCAAATAATATAAAGATATAGCGGATACATCAAAACTGGCACGATCAAATAAACACATCCAACCAGTAGATCATCACCGTGCAAAGCCATCGCCTCCCAAAATCCGATACCCGGCTTCTTTTACTTCGATAACAATTCTCCCAAGAAATGAATGGACTTGGGTGTGCCCTAAAACGTGACAAAAAAATTAGGTTTGTGACTTGCTGCTGCAGCCTGGATTAACTAATTCGCCTGCGAACTTTTAATTTTAATTTATTTTGCGCAACGAGACGCCATTGCACATACAATGAGTCACAGTATAGAGGAAAGATGTCATAGAAAATGTGGGGCTAAAAAAAAGGATGGATTTTGGGGATGAATGGATGGGGGAGTGGGAGGGCGAAGGGAAGCGAAAAAGAATGAACAATTTTGGAGGGTAAAGATGGTGTTGGGGCAGGGGTACTCAGTGAAGTGGTGTGAGAATCGGTAGGTAGATATAGGGCGGAGCCGGCTGCGGTTTGGACGTACGCCCGGAATACGGAGCGCTACGTAAGTGCTCGGTGGGAGTGTTTCGGAGTGGTGCCAATCTTGGCCCGTCAATTTCGCTACCAAAAAATGGAGTAAGCGCTCTGTGTGCACCGATCAAGACAACAGCAGAGCAAGACAAACGGCATGGCAAAACCAGGGTCCCATAAGGCTACAAACAAGACCAGACGGCAAGCGACAATCAGCAAGCGGCAAGACAAACGACATCGGCAATGTTGTGTACGGTCAAATGGGGAAAGATGCTTGGTAATTTTTTTTTATCGACCAGTCGCTGGGCGGTGGTGCTGCCGAGAGAGGGAGGGCGGGTCTCGTGGGCGAACCAAAGCTGTGGGGCTGTAGGGCAGGCTGCAGGCATTGTGGAGATGATGGGCGATGACGGCTCGGAGGACTTAAAACTGCAAAAAGAAAGGGCCGCCGGAGCGGATATAGCAAAAAAAAACAGTTGAAAGCAGAGAAAATGGAAGAAGGGAGAGGGAATTAGAGCTTGAGAACCCTAGAAAGATCTAGCTTTAACAAATCCTTGCGAAAAGACTTACATCCCGAGAGTAAAGTAGCTTTTGTGGTAATAAATTCATCCAGCTGGGTATCCTAATAGTGAATGAGGTCTTCCTTGCTTCAGTGCGAGCATGGGGGATGTTGAACAAGAGTTTCTTGTTTCGATCTGTATCAATTCTAAACGTAAAGCACTTTTGCCTAGGGATATTGCATTTACTATACTTCGTCGTCCCCCCCCCCCCGGGGGGGCTATTTTTGATAATTTAAAATACAGCAGCATGTGGTTGTCGAAAGTTCTGAAATGCCGAGAGCCCCAACGAGCTAATTTGCTCTAATTTTCAAATATTGTCGGGCGAGCTCAACCAGAATTCTTGGATGTCAAGCAAGCTGTCAAGCTGCTCAGATCGAATTGGACTCGGTTTTTCAGCATGCTTTGTTTCAACTTGTCGTAAGGAGTTAGGTGATGGAGTTCTTCGATATGCGAGACGGAAACGGAAGAAGGACAAACGAAAAGTTAATTTTTCAAACGGGAACAAGCCTCGATTACTCGAGCCAGGCGGTCCCCGGGTGCATTCTAAGGGCTTGGAAGCGAAGTGCCGGCTTGGCAAGCCTGCGGATTTAACTGGAGCATGGTTGAACATGCTTTGGGCTTCTTGGGACACACGTTCCAACCCTGGAACAGAGCGTAGAGAGCTCGAGCAGACGATTTTCTGACGACCGGAACAAGTCAGCCTAAAAGTTGCTTAAGAGGCCTGATCTGGACTTGGAGAGCGGTTTCTTCCGTCCGTTTCAGCCAAATTGGGGAGCCAAAGGCTATTGAAATCGTTTTTAGCCAATTGCTATCAATTACCGAATTTTAAGAATTTTTTTCCGGGTAGTGCCGTTATAATTATGGCCGCCAGCCAAAGTGCTTTTTTCACGAAAGTCTTCGTAAAAAAATTTCTCGGCCTGGAATGGAAAAACCGTTGTGGGGTACCGTCTTGTGATGGAATACGGTAACTTTCTTCAATAGAACGCTTTTCTCGAAACAATTCCACTATCAAGAATTTTCGAAAAATTTGGGTGCCGTTAAAATTAAGTCCACCAGTCTAGTTTGCCCGACTACGTATTACCGGGGCTGTTTGTAAAGTACAGCCGGTACAGCCGTTTCGAGATTATATGGAAAGGGGCGAGAGACGCAGAGAAAAATGTCTGCGCTCTCTCCCTCTGCCCACTCTATCTATCCGGCTCCGGCTGTACCGACTAATTGCCTATTACGGGTGCCAGAAAACCGGGGGGGTGATTTGCAACATATGATTTGAAGCACTTAACTAGCAGTCTAGGGTTTCGAATCTTGAGGTTTCTGAGTAGAGAAAACATAGCCCTTGTGGCTTTGAAGTGACGTTGTTCTAAAGTAGACTTGTTTTGAAGCCGGTTTGAGACTAGGATTCCTAAATCACGAACTATGGGCGCGGATTGTAACGGAAAGTCGCCTAGGGTGTAACTAAATTTAGGGTTCCAGACGCCTAGGTGGAGCATTTGGCACTTGTGATACGAAAAATCTAATTTACTATCAAGTGCCCATTTATGGACGAGGTTTATTGCAGTTTGGAAACTAAGCTGGCTTGAAAGAGTCTGACGTCGGGAAAAAGAGATATTTTGACATCATCAGCGAACATCTTACAAGGGAACCTCAAGTTGGCACGGTGGAGTTTCGAAAAACGCTCGCAACTACCCTTAGGTTTTCGACTATGGCGATTCCAACCGTCTAATCAGAATTTCCTAAATGGGCCTCTGGACAGAGATACAGCACTTCCGGAAAATGGTCAATTTACATTCGGCGGAATTAGCATTTTTCTTTTTTCGACATTCGCGCTATTTTTTTCGACATTTTAAAGATCCCATTCGATAGAGCATCCAAAAATATACTAAGAGTTTTAATTTTAGCTCAAAATAATGTAATATAAAATAGTTATAACAAAAACAAGTATTAAAAAGTATTAAAACGCAAAAAAATAGTTAGCTCCGTCCCAACAGTCCGTCCCCCCGCGTAAAATTCCCCCGCGTAGCCGACATATACCAAAAAATCTCATACGAGTAAATCATAGAAAATCTCATACGAGTAAATCATAGAGGCCCCTCGGTAAAAAACGGAATGTGTTTTGAGGCTTCTTGGGAGTAATCAGCCAGGGTCCATAATCAAAAATTTTGCGTATAGTAAAAATCAAAACTTGGAGTTGGGTGGAAAGTTCCGGTCAAAAAGCAAAATAAAAAATCGTGAACGAATTCGAACCCTGGTCAGTATCCTAACAAGCTAGCCGCTTACCACCCGGCCATTCAACTGGTGATTCTTCTGGGATGGGAAGCCCTCATAAACCCTGAGGCGAATGCTAATTCCTCCGAATGTAAATTGACCATTTTCCGGTAGTGCTGTATCTCTGTCCAGAGGCCCATTTAGGAAATTCTGATTAAACGGTTGGAATCGCCATAGTCGAAAACCTAAGGGTAGCCGCGAGCGTTTTTCGAAACTCCACCGTGCCAACTTGAGGTTCCCTTGTTAATAAAAACCTCGGGGATTTTAGATATGCAGCTAGGTAGGGAGGCCGTGAAAATTGAGAAAAGGAGCGGGCCAAGCACAGAGCCTTGCGGTACCCCGCTAAACACTGGCCGGGGAGCACTAAATTTGGCGTTTATGCGTACGCTGAATGTGCGATTACGAAGATAATCACGAAGCCAAGCTAGCACCAGACGGGAAATGCCAAAAGAGCGCATCTTAATAGTAGTAATGAGCAGTCAACAGTATCGAACGCTCTGGTGAAGTCAAAATATGCTATATCGACACAATTACGCAATGCAACGCCCCCATGCAACAAATTTGCCTTGGGAAAAGCCGATGGGATTCCCCGCTGCGGAAGCCTCGGTTCCAACCCAAATTACATATTTTTAGAAAAATCAGCGTCGCCGTGGGGCTAAATACTTAATACTTTTACCTCGGACGCGATAACACGGAATTCGCGCGGAGTTCTGTAAAATCAGCAATTACCGGGCAGATCGAAAATGGAACGAATAAATAATAAATTTTTGGAGACTTGGGTTATATAAAAGCCGAAAGCAATTATCTGGGTTTTTAATAGAAATTCTGTAAAAAAATTGTAAGGGTGCAGTTGGTCTACTCGTCACGAAACGTCAACGTCAAGCAACGTAAAATGTAACGCGGCGCGCCACGCGACAGGTAACGCGGCACGCAGCGCGACGCGCCACGTTTTCTGCTGCGCCGCACGCAGCGTAATACGCAACGCGACCGCAGCGTCACTCGGAACGCGACACGCATCGCGGCAGCAACGTGAGACGTAGCTCGACACCTAACACGACGCGCAAAGCGGCACGTAACGCGACACGCAACGAGATACACAAAGCGGCCATAATCCGTTACGCGTTGCGTCACGTGTCACAGATTCAAATCCAGATAAGCCTGTTATTTATGAATATTCATTGGGTAATTTCTGGTTATCTTTTTGCCACCACAGAGCGTGCGCGTCGCGTTCGGCGACCGCCTTTCATAGGTCATGCTTTTCTTTCGCTTTAATACTCACCAATATCGCCTCCAGACAAACTGACAGCACCTGGCTTTGCGCATCCTAAAAATGTATTTTCCATTCGTTTTCGTGAAAAAATTACCAATTCAAATATCCGCAAATACCACATCATCACACCAACGTTAAATCGACCGATTGGGGCTTCTTGAAAAATATTAAAAAAGCTTCTGAAAAACCCTACCGGTCAAGTTATCCGGCATTAATGCGTAAATTGGGGAGTGCAGCTTTTGGTAATTTCTCCCATTAAAAACATCGTTATATAGCCGTCCTGCTGTGTTGATATAGTTTGAATATATATCTAGAAACGTAGAATAATGATGATTTTTTGATAAAAACAGTGTTTTCTCGAAATCTTGATCTTTTAAAAACAACTTACAGTTCTCCCCAAATTTTGTATAATCAACATCTTGCGATACCGTAAATCCACTCAATAATAGCAATAGGAAAACCATTTGCGAGTGGCAGCAGGTGTTGGGAATGTTTAGAAGGGGTTTC